GCCGCGCCCCCAGCCCCGCCTCCCGCCCGAGCAGTCGGGGGCGGGGCCAGAGTACTGGGCGGGGCCTGGAGGAAGTCCAGCCTGGAGCCCGGTCCCGGAGCAATGGAGTGACCTAAGAGGACCCTGCGGGTGTGGGGCGGGCCGAGCCGGGCTTATTTGACTTCCTTAAGGGTGCAGGCGGGGCGGAGTTGGGGAGAAGTTCTGAGGGGTAGGATCGGTGCGAGGCACGCGCGAGCTCAGGCCTTCTGCGTGCCCACGCGTGTACGCTAGTGTGCCAGTGCGGACACGTGCGGGGGCGGACATCCACTTCCCGAACGAGGGGGCACAACATCATAGGGGAAGGAGGGAGCCTTATCGGTTCTGTCTCCCTCCCCTACCCCCATATTCCGGAAAGGGGTCTTGGAGAAATCGGAGAGTCTGACTCCAACACACCCACTCCGATAGTGGTGACATCATAGCTTTCTGTTCCCATAGCGGCCTGGTCGGGGGTTGTGGTGACTTAACCTGCGGGCCTGGACTAGCAGGGAAGCCCGGAATGAGTTCCTCTTGCCAAGCGCTGGGTGGAAAGTTTTGGAGGAGCTGCGTCCTCTGGTGGATGCTTCGGGGAGACGGAAATGAAAAGAGGAAGATACAAAAACTGCCCAGACTCTTCAGGACTGGAATTGAACTCACAACCGCGGCTTCCAGCCAAACAACAGACAGGCATCTGGGGTGAACATTTACACCAGGTAGATACACTCCTTAGAATGATCAATTGTGGGAGAACAGAATGGCAAATGAATTTGCTCTGTAAACTTTCCCCAAATCACAATAAAAATTAAAAAAAGAAAAAAAGAAAGAAAAAGGCCCAGGGTGACAGCCTGGCTGGAGCCAGAACCACGCCTTACATGGCTCGATCGAGAGTTTAACAACACTTATACTACCTTTCTGCATAGTATCTTTTATCGTTTTAAAGTGCATCCTTATCCTCGATTTTATTTTGTGATGATATTAAAGCTTTATCACCATTTTATAGAAGGGAAAATTAAGGCACAGAGCATTACCAACCAAAATCAGATTTTGAAGGCCCAGTATCTATGCTCCCGCTGTGCCTCTGCAAAACCACACCGAATACGGTCTGGGTTACATACGGAGAGTCAGAGCCTGACCTACAACTTGATTGGGTTCAACGGTCCACAGGTTCCTCAAATCTGGTGTTAGTTAAGGTCTTGAGGTTGTCCTTCGGACTGCTCCTTTAATTATTTTTTAACCCGCAGAGGTTTATTATAATAAAATATTGCAGTCCACGTCACCCCAGAAGTGCCCTCCTGCGTGTCTGTTGCAGACTACCTCTGGTGCACTTTTCGCGCTCCCGAGGCCCCGGCAGCCGGGGCCCTGGCCCTTTAAGCTGGCACGCGAGGCCCCGCCCTTGGTCCCGCCCCCCGCCGCGCCCGGCCCGGCTAGCTCCGCGCAGGCAGCCGCAGTTCTTCCCGAAGCGCGCCCCGCCCTCCCCAGCTGTGCACCTAGGTCCAGCTGTGCACGCACTTCGGGAGTCCCAGCCATGTCTGCTGAGAGAGAGGCAGCAGAGGCGGCCACCGTGGTGGTGGCGGCCGAGACAGGGGCCGGGGAAGATGCTTCCTCGCAGCCCCCAAAAGCCGAGTCAGCGGGCGACTCCAAGCCGCCCGCTGCTCAGGAGGGGGCTGCCGCCGCCTCGCCGCCACCGATGCGCTGTCTGGTGCTCACCGGCTTCGGCGGCTACGACAAGGTGAAGCTGCAGAGCCGACCGGCCGCACCCCCGGCCCCTGGCCCCGGCCAGCTGACACTGCGCGTCCGAGCCTGCGGGCTCAACTTCGCTGACCTTATGGCCCGGCAGGGACTGTATGACCGACTGCCGCCGCTGCCTGTCACCCCGGGCATGGAGGGCGCGGGCGTCGTGACCGCCGTGGGTGAGGGAGTCACCGACCGCAAGGTGAGCGGGCCAGTCTAGGCCAGGGGCAGGGCGGCCGGGCAGGGTGAGCTGAGCAGGCTGCGAGGCAGGTGGGCGCGAATGGGCGGTGCCGGGGGTGTGGCAGGCTGGGGAGACTGTGGCCGGAACCTGGGTGAACGGGCGTGAGAAAGGGCCCTGTTTTGCCACTCCTGGAGAGATGGATCGCGGAGGGGAGAATGGAGTAATCTTCCCCTTCCCAACCATTTTAAACTGCGGCCACCGCCCAGAAGCGTGGAGGGGTGGGGGAGAAACAATAAGGCGCCTTGCGCATGCGCGTCCTGACCTTCACGCCCACCCCACCCCCCTTAGTAAAACCACACCTGTACCCTGACCGCCAAACACTCCCTGGGTAATTGTGGTCTGTGACCCTGAGTGACGGTGAGCGGCCCCTTTCCCCGAGGGAGCTGGAGGAGATGTGCAGTCGGGATTGGGCGGGGGCTCAGCGGCCATGCCAGAATCCGAGTCACATGCAGCCCCGTGGTCTGTGGGGGTGGGAGGCGGTCCCTCCCCGAACAGGCCAGAGAGACTGGACACACCCATCATGGGGGAGCGGGAGCCCTGCTCCCTGTCCCCCTGGCCCCCCCCCCCCCGCGGGCTTCCTCTGCCCGTCTGGCCTGGTGCGTGTGGGGGGATTGGGGCTCCAGATCTTTGTCTTGGACTGTCTCCAGTGACTGCAGTATCTCCTCCTCCCATTACTCACCCGGCGGCCCACGACCCCGTGGCTGGCCTTGGGAAGGTCCAGCGGAACCCGCCTTTGCCTTGCCCATAGAGGACCCTTGCCTCAGAAATCTGGCTGTGTCCATTTGGAATGGGGTGGGGAGGAGTGGCACCGTGAGCAGGTCGGCCCAGCTCTGCCGGTCTGTTTCTCGTTTCCATTTATCATTAATCTTGGCCACAACCTCGGGGACCGAAGAGTCCCAAATGACCGCCTTTTTGAGAGACCTGGGGTGAGGCCACTGCATTTCATTTTTTAGTTTTTTTAAGTCAGGCCCTTGCATGATAGGCCCGGCCGATGCGTCCTTCCTCGTTGCCCAGTGGCCAGACCCAGATACCAGAGCTGGGGTTCTTGGGTTTATTGTACATGCAAACAGCTTTTCCTTAAAGGGCTTCTCCCCAAATTCAGCTCTGCCCCACCCTTTCTACTGTCTTTTAAATAGCTCAGCTCTTGAGAAGTTGCTAAGAGGAATTTTTTTTTTTGGGGGGGGACTGTAGTCCATGTTCCTGCTGAAGGCCACCCACCTGACCTCCCCTCCCCACACTTTCCGCTTAGTAAATACAGGATATCCTGCCAAAGGCCTGAATCTGATGTAAGAGCCTGGATTCTGTGGGGAGGGGACATGGTCCAGCCCTGGGTTAAGCTGAGGAGAGGACATGAGCCAGGGTGAGACTTATTTTGGGTCAAATCTTGGCCCATCTGGCCATGCCTCCATCCTCACTCTCTCAGACCATTTTTGAGTCTCTTACGGGAGTCCTGGGGATCCATTCCCTAGACCTCATCTTCAGGCCAGGACTGGAAAGGTTCCAGCCCTCTTTGGGTGGAGTATGGAGGTTTGAGGACATGAAAAAGAAAGAGTTCCATACCCCTTCCCCATGAATCCTAAGTCTCATTACTATACAGAATTCCCATCATGCCTGGCAAGGGCCAAGCAGACCCAGATTGACCCAGAACAGCACCCACACCTCCCTCCACAGGCTGTTCAGAGAGCAAGAAGCCTGTCTGTCTTCTGAGATTCCTATTCCTTGCCCTTCCCTGGACCCCACTTGCTAAGCTGGAGGCAAAGGCTCTGTTATTTTTGCCCCTGACATGCAGGTAGCTAGTGGGTAGGAGTGTACAGCTCTCCTCAGCCACCTTGCCTTCTCTGGGGGAAGGTGTTTATTTGGCCCCAGTGCTGCTAACTTCTTTTTAGGTGACCATCCCCAGTCCTCAACTCACAGACTCTTACCCGCACTTTGGTTGTGGCCTTACCACATACCCTCTCTGCCTTCAGTTGTTGGATTCTGTGTTCTTCCTTGGTGTTATCACATTACCAAGCACTTAGTATCTGCCAGATATTGTGCTAAATCCATTAAATGATTATCTTTTTAATTAAATCATCATAACTGCTCTAATTTACAAATGAGGAAACTGGAGCTCAGAAAGGTTAGGTAATTTAAATTTGCCTTAAGGTCATGTTGTTGTTGTTGTTATTTGCTGTCAGTCGGCCCCAACTCATAGCGACCCCTCCTTGGGTTTCCGAGGCAGTATCACTACGGTCATATCACAGGTAAATAAATGGTGTTTTCTCTTTTTCTTTTAATAATTTTTATTGTGATTTGGGTGAAAGTTTACAGAGCAAATTCATTTTCCATACAGCAGTTCATACACATTTTGTTTCATGACACTGACTGCAATTCCCCACAGGGAGCCCATTTTTGAACTGAGGAGTTTGACCTCAGTATTTCTTCATGCTGCTAACTGTAAGCTCTTCATGTTCAGGGATCTTACACAATAAGCTCTATAAAACGGAGATAAGGATAGTATCTACCTCAAAGAGCTGGTGTAAGGATTAAAGGAACATTTACATATGTTAGGTGCCACTGAGTTGGTTCCAACTCACAGTGACCCTGTGTACAACGGAATGAAATACTGCTCCGTCTTGCACCATCCTCACAATCTTTGCCATGCTTGAGCCCATCAGCACAGCTAGTGTGTCAGTCCACCTCATTGAGGTCTTCACCTTTTTCACTCACCCTCTATTTTGCCAAGCATGATATCCTTCTCCAGACACTGGTCCCTTCTGACAATATGACCAAAGAACAAGGGACAAAGTCTGGCCATTCTTGCTTCTAAGGAGCATTCCGGCTGTACTTCCTTCAAGACAGATTTGTTGGTTCTTCTACAAGTCCATGGTGTGTTCAGTATTCTTCACCAACACCACAATTCAAATGCATCAATTCTTCTGCAGTCTTCCTTATTCATTGTCCAGCTTTCAAATGCTTATGAGGTGATTGAAAATACCATGGCTTGGGTCAGGTGCACCTTAGTCTACAAAATGACATCTTTGCTCTGTAACACTTTAAAAAGGTCTTTTGCATAAGTCTTCTGATTGATGGAGTACTGTTTCCATGGGCACTGATTGTAGATCCAAGTAAAATTAAATCCTTGACAACTTGTCTTTTCCCCATTAACATATAAAGCACTTAAAATAGGGTTTGGCCCTTGATAAGTTATATTTGTTGTTTATTTATTATTATTACTATGAGTATGGCTGCTGCTTTTACTGTAACTTCATTGCCAAGAAGAGGACCTTGTAGCTAGTGGAAGGTCAGTGAATCCTCTGAGTGAATGAATGACTGAATCATGTTCTTCTTCCATTCCTCAAGGAAGGGGACCGGGTGATGGTATTGATCCGGTCGGGGATGTGGCAGGAGGAGGTGACTGTCCCCTCAACCCAGACCTTCCTCATGCCTGAGGCCATGACCTTTGAGGAAGCTGCTGCCTTGCTGGTCAATTACATCACAGCCTACATGATTCTCTTTGACTTCGGCAATCTGCGACCTGGCCACAGCGTCTTGGTACACATGGCCGCAGGTGACAGGCCCCTTCGCTTTATCTTCCCTCCTCATCCCACCCAGATTTCCTTCTAGGCCCCTTTTCTGCAGCCTGCCCTGACTGTCGTCATGGCAACACCAGTCTGCTTTGGTCTGTGGCACCCAGAGGCCTCTGCAGTGCTGTTGCCATGGTAACACTCAGGCACCAGGTCCAGCCTAGTGTGCTGTCCATGTCAACATGCCCTCACCCAGCACCCCATCCTCTCTACCCACACCCTGTCTCCAATTCTCAAATCATGGAAATTGGGTGTGGGGTTAGTGGGGAAAGCCCCAACCAAAATGAGACAAGATGAGGGTTATGGACCAGGCCCTAGAGAGGCTAGCATGAGTGGTAGCAGGCAGCCCCATATCTTCATCATGGCTGTTTCCACAGGGGGTGTTGGTATGGCAGCTTTGCAGCTGTGCCGTACGGTGGAGAACGTGACTGTATTCGGAACAGCCTCGGCCAGCAAGCACGAGGTACTAAAGGAGAATGGGGTCACACACTCCATCGACTATCACACGAGTGACTATGTGGATGAAATCAAGAAGGTCTCTCCTAAAGGTGGGGATTGGGGCATGGGAGGGGTATAGGATGTGGGAGACACAGAGGGGTCACTAAGACCTGTAGATCCTAAAGCTGTTCCTGGCTCTCCTGACTCTGGCAGGTGTGGATATCGTCATGGACCCCCTGGGTGGGTCAGACACCGCTAAGGGCTACAACCTCCTCAAACCCATGGGCAAAGTCATCACCTATGGTGAGTTAGTGGGCTGGGGGAAGGACAGGGGATGTTAGAGGAAGGAGGGCGGGTCTGAGAGGTGGGATTCAGGGCTCCAGGGCTTTCAAATGAGAGAAAGGACAGGACATTTGGTGCTCTGTAGAGAGAATCAGGGTTGAGAATGTCCCCGTATGTTGGCATTTAGATTGCTACCTTCTGGGTGCTACTGTCCTTACCTTTCAGCAGTTTCTCATGTCAATTACAGTGAATTCTCAGTGTTCCCTTTGTGCTCCTCTGTGGGGACTGTTCTTGATGCAAAACCAACCAGTCTGCTTTCCTCTTGACTTACTGTGGGCTTCTTGGGCAAGCTGTGTTTTTATTTAAATGATTGCACACACAAAATAAGTAAAGATTAGAGCAGTGTTTGAGTCAGTTTGGCCTGGTGGCTCGCAGGTTGAGGTGGATAATGTCCTCTCTGGAACTGGTGTGGATAATTGCAAGGGGACAACAGCGGGCAGATGATGGCTGCAAATATGCTGGGATGTGCCCAGCACCTGGCTTCACTGGCTGTGCCTTGTCCCTCAGGAATGGCCAACATGCTAACGGGCCCCAAGCGGAATCTGATGGCCCTGGCCCGCACCTGGTGGAATCAGTTCAGCGTGACGGCCCTGCAGCTGCTGCAGGCCAATCGGGCTGTGTGTGGCTTCCACCTGGGCTACCTGGAGGGCGAGGTGGAGCTGGTCAGTAGTGTGGTGGCCCGCCTGCTGGCTCTGTACAACCAGGGCCGCATCAAGCCCCACATCGACTCGGTCTGGCCCTTTGAGAAGGTGAGTGGATGGCTTCTCAGGGAGGGTCTGGGTATAGGACTCCTAAGGTTGGGGGTCCCAGGAGGTGGATTCCTGGGGAAGAAGAGGACAGACTGGGCTGGCTATTGTGAAGTAGGGGTTGGATGGCTTTGGGAGCAGAGTCTTCTTCTCACCCCTCCAGGTGGCTGATGCCATGAAGCAGATGCAGGAGAAGAGGAATGTGGGCAAAGTCCTCCTGGTGCCCGGACCAGAGAAGGAGAACTAGGGCAAGGGTCTGGGGGACCCTTAGGACCCAGGAAGGAAGAAGTTGGGAAGTCACATTCTGTGGACCACCAGTCTCCAGTCTCGCCTTTCATCCTGTCATAACGCTCTGCCCTCCCTCCCCCGAAGGTCTTCTTGGTGATGACCTCTTCCCTGCTCTTTCTCTTTAGTCAGGGCTCCCCCCTCCCCACTTCCTACCCTCTGAAGAGGTTGGAAGTGATTACTTGGATGTCTGGGCCCTGCCAAGGGGACAGGGAAGGTCAGGGAGAGGCTGGGTGCTTCCTGCCCCCCACCCTTTCCCCGGCTTGCTGTGCTGCTTTTGTGCCAAGGTTAGCCAGTCCCCACCCCCCGTCCTGTTCTGTGTGCTGTGTGCTTCCGCCCTGGCCTCAGCTCTCTCCTGCCCCTGCCCCACCACCTCCCCAAAGAATCGAAATGTCAGCTCAGGATACGGGGGCCAGTCTGTGTGAGTCCTGCATGTACTCGTCTCTCCCCAGTATCCCTTCACCCCCAGGCCAACCAGCGCCCACCTCTGAACTCTCGCATGGCCTCTTCTCTGTACCCAACTTTGAAGCACAACTGGGCTCTTCCCACCTCTAGGTTTTCTGCCACTCCTAGCCAAGGCTGCCTCTTACAACAAGGGCGGGAATCACACCTCCTCCCCTAGGTCATGACTCTGTGGGAGGAATAGAGATGCCCCCACACCCCTCACTGAGTTCTCTGGATCTGTTCTCAGTGCCTTAGCAACGGAAAACCTGTGCTTGTATCTGTGTGTGTGGGGGAGTCCCTGTCCTCACCTCCTTCTCCATGCCTGTACTCCTGGTGCCTTCTCTTTTTGGTGGAGCTGGGGTTTCCCCAACGCCCACCATTGCCAAAAATCTGTGTATGTGCCAGTGGGTGGGTGGGGGCTAGCCATAGTCTCCTGGGCTCAGGCCACGTCCTGTCTCTGGGGCTGTCAGTTCTCTATTGGTGGTTGAGGAGCAGAAGAGGTGGGGGACGGTTTCTCAGCCTTGCATATAAGTGTGGCATTTACCAGCCAGGGCTTTGAGAGGTAGTGCTGTCTGTGTCTTGTTCTGGGACCAAAGTAAAAATCAAAGCACATTCCCCTTGCTGTCAAGGGAGGCCACCTTCTCAAGACAAGGAGGCATCTTTTTCAACTTAGCCCCAAACTTTGTTTACATGGGTGGGGAGTTGGCACTGGGAGGGAACAGCGGGGAGGGGTAGGACCTGGGCCGCTGGAGCCAAAGCGGGAACTTCTTGGGGCAGGGGTGTAACCCCACTATCCAAGCTGGGGTTAGGGAGAGTCACTGTCCCAGCCGTTGCCAATGGGAGGTGTGTGTGGGGGGGTAGAGGCCTGAACATGTGAAGTGCGATTTCTGCTTTAGTGTACCCCACCCCATTACCACAGCTGCCTTTGTGTTTGTGTCAATAAAAAGCCAAACCCTGGTCCTGAATGTTGCCTCTGAGAAAGGAAGGAAAGGTGAGCGTGTAGAGGCCAGTGCTGATAGCAGGCTTCTGGCCTCCCCCAGCCTCCCTTCCAGGCCCAAATCAGATTTCCTTTCATGACATGAAATGAGGAAGAACATTGTGCCACGAGGCAGTTTTACTGTTTCTGGGCAGTGTTGCGCAACTTCTAATCCCTGTCCCCTGTGATGAGCATAAAGATCTCTCTCTTCCACATACCCACCCTCAGCTCAGTTTGAGAACATTGGCAGAGGGGGTGAGGGGTGAGGAGAAGGACAGTCCCCTAGCCGGACTCAGAGGTGAAGACCACCAGGCCCTGCTGTCCAGGGGGCACGACTGTCAAGGCCTCCACCTCCCCGCCCCCACGGGTAGGCTTCTGGAAGTGGATCTCCAGGACATCGTGCAGCTCCGGGCCGTCCAGGATGTCAGGGATGTTGAGCACCACCACTGAACGGGGCACTGGCTGGAAGCAGATCTGGGGAAAGAGCCGAGAGATGGGCAAAGGCCCATGGGAGTGAGAGAGGCAGAGGTCCAGGTGGGCGGCAACCCCGTGGTCCATATAGGAGGAGTCTGGAGGCTGGACAAGCTGGCAGTGAGGAGGTCAGTGGGGGTTAGGGGACTCTGATCGCTCCCTGGCCCAGGCCCCATTCTCTACCCTCTGTTGCTTACCTCAGCTTTCTGGATCTTCCCACTCATGTAGGGAGAGACTCTTAGAAGGAACTGCCGCCCACCCAGTGGCACTTTGAACTGGCCAATCTGGCACAGGCGGTGGGCCACTGTGGGGACAGGGAGGGAGTGGAGCTCTAGCATCAAAGGCCCCTCCTCTCCCATGACCCAATGCATGCTGTACCTTAATCTCCCCTCCAGGAGGCCCTGCTGGGTCCTTACCTTCATCTTTGGTGAAGCCCAGCATCACACCGCCTTGCAGCAGTTCCCGAATCTCCACGTCACCACCCCCGTTGCTGGCCTTGCCAAAGAAGATCTCCAGCTTGTCCAGTAGCTGCTCCTCACTCAGCTTGAGCCCTGCAGGAAACCCACTGACCAGCACCCTCCGGCCACTAGTCTGACTGGACACCTAGGGGGAGACAGGCAGGAGTGGGCCCAGGCACAGGCCTGCTGCCTCATGCCCAGGTGCATGGCACCCACACACATCCCAGGAGCCTGCCATTCTGTCACCTGGATGGCGGTCACCGTGGGCAGCACCAAGGGCTGGACCTGCACCCGCAGCCGGCACTCTTCCAGGTTGATCTTATGCTCCTTTTGCTGCAGCACCTGCTCAGCCACTGGGTGGGGGGAGGAGGGTCAGTACTGGAGAGCCTCCCAGCCCTTGGCCTGAGGCTTCCCCAACGCCACCCCAAAGCTCACCCTTAGGGTCATCAAAGGTAACCAGAGCAGAGCCTCCAGGCAGAGGGCAGCAGATGCGCAGATTGGAAAGCGAAGTCTTGGGCACTTCCCTGCCCTGAGTGTGGCCTCTAAATACCAGAGGGAACTCAGGCACTGGAAATGGGACCTGGAGTTGGGAGAGGGGAGGCCGATGCAGCCTAAAGGGTGGGAGAGCTCCACTCCCTCCCAGGAGGACAGCACTCCATTTGACTGATGCTGAGTGCCAGAGCTTACTATATTTACAAGGAGAACTGGATGAATGCAGGTCAGGCACCATGCTGGGCACTCACACATACATATAAGGTCTTAGTTTGTCCTCACACAAGCCTGGGAGGTAGGGATCCACTTTACAGATGGGAAGACTGAGGATCCAACAGTTCAAGTAACATACTTGAGGTCACACACCAAAGAAGTGTCAGAGCCAGAAGTGAAACTAAGAACTCCCCAATTTCCAGCTCTTTCTACCAGGCTTCACCCCTCCCACCTTACTTTGACTTGAGGGGAAATCCTAGACTCCTTTTTCAGCTGTTGCAGCTCCTGAAACCTCTTCTTTAGTCTGGCTTGCTCCTCCAGAAGGCAATGGATGTCCTATGGGGACAGAGGCAACCAACCAGTGGCGTCACTAGAGGTGGTGTCACACTGCACCCACCCCCCACACAGACCTCCTCTTGTACTGGCGCTTAAAGAATTCCCAGTAATGTTTATTATCAATTTTAATCCTAGAATAATATAAATATAGCTGCAAATTGCTTAAATATAGCATTTCTTAGATTATATGAATCTATCAATAAAATTGTACAATCTTTCTACATTGAATTACATTATTAGTTACAACATTATTCATAACTGAGCAGAAGCCTTTTGTGGTTTTTCTCCTTTTCCTTTAATGATTATTTCATTCACAATAAAGTTACTGACACAAATTCATAAATGCTAATTACACACCATTGTAGCTGAAACACCAGAAAATGTGACAAAATCAGCAACTATAAAAACACCAGCAGCAATGAACAGCAGCTTGTTGCAGAGCGTGCAGATGAAACCACATGATTTGAAGCATCATTGTAACTGGGTAATGACAGCTCTGGTCAGAGCACATTAGAAGGTTCAAAAAGTCAGCCAGCATAGCGTTTTAGCCTTGTTGGTATATTGATATAATAAGTGGGGCTTAGGAAAAATGTTTTTGTTGTTACAACTACAAGGGTATTTTTATTTAAAAAATAATAGGTTTCTCCTGAAACCTGCACAAAAATGTTATAGACTGTCATTTTGGGTGACTGACAGCTGCATCACCCAGTGTGGTCCACACCTCCTACATCTCCATAGTTACGCCACTGGGACCAGACAGACATCTACCTACCTTTCCAGAGACTGAACAAGCCCAGGGGAATGCAACCCTATTCTGGACACTCCAGAAGCAGAGCTGACGCCCAGCCCAACAACCACCCCTCCCCTTTCCCCTGGCCTGGCTGGTCCTGACCCACATTACCCAGGGCTTGGCTGGCCACACCTCAGTCACTCTCGGAAGAGCGCAGTCTTTGCAGCAGCCTTGGCTGGTTCATTACTACAGATCTATAATTTAACAAGCACCAGCTGATCCCCTGCTATGAGGTGCTGGGCACTGAGCTAGGCAGGGTAGGAGGCACATGGCAGTGGAAGACAACTGCATGATCACATGACTGACTATGGAGTGCAGTGGAAGTCTGCAGGAGGGACAGACTAGCAGGGGCCAGCACAAGGCAGGCTTAGATGGAGAGGAGCAGGGGCTTAGATTCGCAAATGTTACATTTAAGCACTTTCTATATGCCTGTCTGAGGCATTAGTAGTTCACTGGTAGAATTCTCCCTTCCCACTGGGAAACCCAGTTCAATTCCTGGCCGATGCACCTTAAGCAAAACCACCACCCATCTGTCAGTGGAAGCTTGAATGTTGCCATGATGCTGTTTCCGTGGAGTCTCCAGGCTAAGAAAGACTAAGCCTGGTGATCTACTTCCAAAAATCAATGGATGAAATCCCTGTGGGTCACAATGGAACCACACAGCCGGTCACGGGGATGGCGCAGGACCGGGCTGCGTTTAGTTCCATTGCGCGTGGGGTCACCATGGGTCAGAGCCGACTCCACCACAGTTAACAACGTGTGTCAGGTGCTGTGCTAAACTCGTTGTATTGAGTCTACCATTCCATCCTCACTGCAGTCTTAGGAAATAAATACCATTCTTAACTTTATTTTACAGAGGAGAAAACTGAAGGTCAGAGACATTAAATGACTTGTGCAAAGTCATTCAGCCCCAGGCAGTCTGACTGCCAGCCCTCACCCTGTTAACCTTTGTGCTTTACAGTGAGGAAATCAAGCCCTGAGACCAGGTTTGCTGGTCTGATAGAGCCTGTTGGAACCCCTGAGACTATGGCCCCTAGTTGCCCTTCAGGTCTGGAACTGAACCCACTCCTGTGGCTTCCAGCCAAACAAAAGAGCTGAACATATGAGCTGAACATTTACATTAGGTAGATACATTCCTTGGAGAGATCAATCATGGGAGAATAGAAGGGCTGTGTCTGCACAGGGACATAGCTCAGGGGGCAGGAGTGCAAGGAGCCAAGGACACAGGGAAGAAGTAACTATGGGGAGGAAGAGGAAGGGAAGCTGTTACATTGTGGGAAATTGTAGTCAATGTCATGAGACAAAGTGTGTGTGAACTGCTGTATGGAAAGTGAATTTGCTCTGTAAACTTTCACCCAAATCACAATTTTAAAAAAAAAGGAAGAAAAAGAAAATTAAAAAAGAAAGAAAGAAATCAAGCCCTGAGCAGGGAAGTTGTCTCCCAACTTGTCCCCTGACTGCTACCCTTCCACTGCACCAAGTGGCCTCTTAGGCTGCGTGTGATTTGGAATGGGTCCAGAGAGATAGATGATACCATAGTCAGGGGAAGGCCACTAGGAATACAAATAAATGCACTTTTGTTTGTGGGATGGAGCAGACAACAAAGTTTACAGTGTGTGCTGGGAGTGTCTTACTATCTACTGCTGTGGTAACAGGAATATCCCAAGTGGGTGGCTCTAACAAACAGAAATTTATTCTCTCACAGTTTAGGAGGCTGGAAGTCTGAATTCGGGGCACCAGCTCTGGGGGAAGGCTTTCTCTCTCTGTCAGCTCTAGGGAAAGTCCTTATCGCTTCGGCTCCTGGGCCATCTTCATATGGTATGGCATCTCCCACCATCTCTGCTCAGCTCTTAAGAGACTGACTCAAGGTACACCCTACACTACTGTGGTCTCATCAACATGACAAAGAAAACCATTCCCAGATGGGATTATAACTACAGGCATAAGAGGTTAGGATTCATAACACATTTTTTTTGGGGATACAAGTCAATCCATAACTGGAAGACTGATAAATAATGTCGACTCAGTGAAGTGTGTGCTCTTTTGAGAAGATAAAACTGCCTGGTCATCTTTCTTTCTGTCCCCACCGTCTAGCAGAGTCCCTGGTACAGAACAGGTATTCAGTAAATGTATGTTGTATGAATGAATAACAGGATAGGAGCAGATTGTAAACAGCCTTAAAATCCAGTGTAAGGTAGGTCTATTTTAGGCAGAGGAAAACTAGAGCTTGCCCAAATGATGCTGAAGCCAGCATGAGTAGTGAGAAAGGTACCTAGTTATTTATCCTTCTGTAAATCAAGGGTTGCAAACTCAATGCTTTAAGGGGCCAGTTAGATGACATCAAGGCATCATAGGAGCCGGTGTAGCACAACAGGGAGCAGAGGGCCCTTTGACAAAAGGGAGAGTGTATGTCACCACTTCATAAAGTAGGTAACCTCTTCTCAGCTGTAACCAAGAGTTTCCACATGGGCATGTGGTCCCAGCATTTCTAAAGGAAATCAGAAATCTGGATTTTTATTTTAAGAAGATGGCTTAATTTGGGGGAGGAAGTAAGAAGTGTGCTGTTACACTGGGGGAATTGCAACTAATGTTATGAAACAAAACATGTAATACTGTTGAATGGAAAACTGTTGTTATGTGTCATGGAGTCAGACCTGACTCACAGTGACCCCTCCCGAGGCAGTATCACTACTGAAGTGGATTGCCCAACCTTCCTTCTGAGGAGTGGCTGGTGGGTTTGAACCACCAGCCTTCTGATTAGCAGTCAAGCACCTTAGGCACTACGCTACCAGAGCTCCTGCCTTGAGCATAGTGCTCTTATAAAGAATTATCCTTATGAGCTGAATCTGACAACAATTAACCTAAAGCACAGATGAGGACTTTAAGGGGTGGAGAGCCTACATTAATGTGATAAAACAATGTGAGTAGAGATGATGAGAACAATATGCAACAAGGTTATTGAACTACACATGGAGAAATTGTGAATGGATGGATATTTAGGTATGTATATTGCCACCAAAAATAAAGCTTTTTTTTTTTTTTTTTAAAAAAAAGAAAACAAAAAGAAAGTGTGGATTTAATATAATAGGAAATGAGATATTCATGCAGATTTCTGAAGGGGGTGCTGTGTGTGTGAAGTGATGGGCATGGTGTTAAAAAAGACCAGCGGTGATGGCTGGGGAAACTGGATGGTGACCCCAGAACAAGGGAAACCACCCCCAGACTCCAGGATTCCAATTGCAAGGGATGTGACAGGAGCTGGCTTGGGCCTCTGGCAGTGGGCACAGAAGGAGCCTTGGGCAGATGAGCACATTCCACAAGGAAAAGCCTTGTGGACGTTTGTGTCAAGGAGACAAAAAGAAAGAAAGATGAAGCCAGGTTTCAGACATGGGTGTGCTAGAGTTTGGACTAAGGCCACTGACCCAGCAGGCAAGGAAGAGAGCTAGTAGTTACTGAGGGATGCTACGTGCCAAGCACAGTTGGACTCCACTTCATGGAAGAATCACAAAACTACATCCTGTGCCCAACTCCCTGAAACTTTTCAAAGGACCTCTAGGAACAACACAGGCTAACTGCAGGCACTTACTTGTATTTAACTATGCATACTGTAACATGGACCCCAGCAAGCCAACATTATCTTGTTCTCAACTGAAAAACACTGTGATCTATTCTATATTAAGCTCATTGAGAGACTAAATTTTGGATGCTTTAGGAGTGAGTTAATGCATATAAGCTTAATTTTGACTATGTACATTCTTCTCCCTTACTTGCTGAGTTTAGAATCTAACTGGAACCACAGCATAAAATCTTATGTAACTGATGCTCATCATGGGAGTTCAGGGAGGCAGTTAACCGTAAGTTAACAGCACAAACTTGACGAAGCTTCTTGGGCTTCCATCCCTGCACTCTTACAGGACCATGGGGAAGTTATTTCACTCTCTGTACCTTGATTCCCTCATCTGTAAAATGGGTATAACAGGATTTTTCACCTGTAATCTCACTTGGAATAGTGTGCCTGGCACATAGTAGGGGCTATATTAAACATTTTTTATTTTAATAATCTTCATAAGGAGGTCTGGTGACATAATGGGTATTTGGCTGCTAACCAGAAGGTCAATGGTTCAAACCCACCAGCTGCTGCTTGGGAGGAAGATGGGGCGATCTACTTCCATAAAGATGTGCAGCCTTGGAAACTCAACGGGGGTTGCTATGAGTTGGAATCAACTAGATGGCAGTGAGTATGAGCTCATTTTATAGATGAGGAATTTGAGATTCATCAGGGTTAAACAACGGCCTTAAGTCAAACCTGTCTTTTTATCTGTAAAGCCCACTTGATTTTTTTAAAGAGAGAGTCGGCAAGGGAGGGTGAGGTCATTTTAGATACTTGAATTTGAGATGATAATTCCACCTACAAAGGCAGAGCAGGTCACTGAAGACAGAGAGGGTCGGGGACCAGACTTGGTCAATGGGACTCTGGGTTGGAGCAGCATGTGGTGATGGTCAAAGGCAAGAGGATGGATGAGCTCTTTGAGGGACAGAGCCTTGAAAAGGTAGTCCTGGGTCAGGAGAGAGAAGAATCCAGAGAAGGAAAAAGAAGGCATGGTCAGAGATAAGCAGGGCAAGGACTGGCAGACACCAAAGGAGGCAAAGGGATGAAACAGCTGACAGAATAGGAGGGATACAAGCATTCTACTCATTCATTTCACAAACAGCTATCAAGCATCTCTGAAAGGAGCTCTGGGGGCGCTGTGGTTAAGGCGTTGGGGTACTAACCAAAAGGTCAGTGGTTTGAATGCACCAGCTGCTCTGTGGGAGAAAGAGACAGTCTGCGTTGGCAAAGATTTACAGCCTTGGAAAGCCTATGGGGGTCGCTATGAGGCGGAATCAACTCATGGCAGTGGGTTTGGTTTGGGTTATTAAGCATCTACCTTGTGTTAGGCCTTGTTCTGAGCTCTACACAGCAGTGGCTGCTGAAACAGACAAACCTTCCTCCCCTTTGGGAGCTCCAATTATCTACAATATGTTAGTGCTAAGTGTTATGGTTACAAATAAAGCAGGATAGAGTACTGGGGTGATCAGGGGAAGCTTCACTGAGCCAACCCCATGTTAGGGAGGCGATCCCAGCCCTGATTCTCCCCAATCCTCCATCCGATGAGCAGGGGGAGGCTTGGGGTCTGGGCCCTGACACATCAACGGGCTCCTAGCTGAGCAGTGCGCTTCTCTGCTTCTCCCCACCCCCATTCCCGCTTCCTCACTTACGGCATCTCGGGCCACCCACATGGGTCTGGGGTCCGGCTTGCAAGAATCCAGACTTTAGAGCTGGGCACGAAGTGACAGAGTCCACCACGACTAAGTGTTTTGCTTGTACCCTTTGTGGGGCTTCAGAGTCCCCCAGCCAGAGCAGGGCCCGAAGTACTTCTGAGGGTTCTCCAGGGCTCTTTGGTTCCACTTTCATTTCCGCGAAAGCCCTACCCGCCGGCGCTCACACGCCCCCAGACGGAGCTTCCCCACCCCTGGGAGGAGCCTCCTTGGTCTTGGAAGCCAACTTTGTCCAGATTTGAGGCCTTAATCCAGCTACAGCCCTTTCTTAATAAACTTGACACACACCTCGCAGCTGCACTCACCTTCAAATATCGCCTCCCCAAGTTCTCTCCTTTAACTTTACCCTCCTCACCAGGATCTAAACATAGCTGGCACCACTATTACGCTATTAAATACCATCTCCTCGCAACTTGCTCTCCTCTTACTTCTTCATTTCTCTTCAAAGCACTTCTGACTACCCAAGTCGGGTAGGTTTTCACCAATTGCTGTATCTTGGTGCCTGACAGCACCTGGCACATGGTGAGCACTGTCCTCTAATGACACTATGCCTACAGGAGCAACTGAAGTCTTTCAGCTGGGTACCGAGTACTGCCAGGGTTAGGATCTCAGCCTTGTGAGAACTTGGTAGCATCTAGGTCTGCTGTTACTTTGTTTCCCTGTTTTCCTAGAGCCTCCAAGGATGCCAGACACATGCAGGCACTGACCACGTAATTGCTGAAGGAGTGAGAACTGTGGCCAGGACAAGCAAGTCACTTGGATCATATGCACAAAACTGGTAGTAAAAACTGCTACGGAGCCAGTTCGCACTCATAGTGAACCCTACAGGGCACAGCACAGCCGCCTGCTTCCAAGGTTGTAAACATCACAGAAGCAGATTACATCTTTCTTTGAAACGGTTGGTGGGTTTAAACTGTCAGCCTTGTGGTTAGCAGGTAAATGCTTGAAGTACTACACTAGAATGTCTGGCAATAGCCAGCATTCATCGAAAGGTGACCGTTATTTACCCAATACCTTTCTGCTTTTCATGAACTAACTCCACCCTCAAGACCATCCCGTGAACTTGGGTCTATTTCTATTATTATTTTTTTGTGATTTGGGTGAAAATTTAGAGCAAATTCACTTTCCATATAGCAGTTCACATACAGTGTCTCATGACATTGATCACAATTCACCACAATGCAACAACTCCTCTCCCACTTCCTCCCAAGTTACCTCTTCCATGTCCATCCCTCCATGCACTCCTGCCCTGAGCTGTCTTCCTGTGCATAAGGAGCACTTCTGTCTCCCATGATTATGTGCCATCAGAGTAGGACCCAACTCACAGCAACCCCTCCCTGGGTTTCTGAGGCAGTATCACTACATAAGCAGATTGTCCAACCTTCCTTCCAGGGAGTGGCTGGTGGGTTTGAACCTCCAGCCTTCTGGCTAGCAGTCAAGTGCCTTAGGCACTATGCTACCAGAGCTCCTTGAGCATAGAGTACTCATGTCCTATTATTTTACAGTCCAGTTACATCTCCTTTCTCAGTATTAATATGGGGCCAAAGTGAAAAGCTGTTTTGTACACCAGTTCCGCTTAGAACCAGACCATTTCATCAATAAGTCACAGTTTTAATTAACCAATGAGATAAACGGTGACAGAAGGGACAAATTCCTGCACTACAAGCCAGTGCCCATCCCATTAGGAATGGCTGCTCTAGGCCTGGGCCTCAGCAATGTGGTTTAACAAAACCATCTAGGTGATACCCCCCAGTGCTAAGGTTCAAAATCCTCATTGTCAGTGGTTTTCAAAGCAAAGAACTAGTCCCCCTCCAGAGTGATGTTTTCTTAGGGAAGAGTTACCCAGAAAAACATCAAGAGTAGCGTTTTATTTTTTTTGGGGGGGAACAGTTTAGTAATCAAAGTTCCCCCACGGAGGGATCATTAAAGGACTATCAGGCTGAGAATGGCAGTGCCAGCCTCACAAAGACAGGCTTAACTTTTATTTTAGATTCTCTCAGTCCTTCACCCACCAATGTCTCTCATCCTGTGAATGTTCTTCTTCCCAGTCTAATATACGCAGCAGTCAGACACAGGGAGTTTTTGTATTTTTAATGATTGAAACAAAAAAAGATCTAAAACCGCAGCTTCTGGAAGAACCACTTGTTTTTGCCTGTCTTGTACCTAGAAGAGGAGGGGGAAAAAAAAAATCAATGAGAGAGACAACAGGGAAATAAAATTCCCTTCATGGAGAAGGTGAAACTATACTCCAGTAAATACCAATCAAAGTCTACTTACCTCTCCTCAAATTTGACCTTGGCCTCCCGACGGGCCTTTCGTTTAAGAGCAGGGTCTCTGAAGACATCCTTGTTGACAACAGTTTTATCCAAGGGGATGTCCACAGAGTACCTGGGGAGTGATGGCACGACGAGTTTACATGCTGCCAGGGCCTCACACAGCCCCCCAAGCCTTCCCAGGACATCGGGGTATTAGGGTGTGACTCCACAGGAACAATCACTGAGAGCTATGCCAAGTCCTAATGATATTTTTTAGAAATCCCCAATTTTAATGGACTCATTTACATGGATTCAAGCCACTGAAAAATTCTGATGCTTCATTCTCAACTTTGTATTTCTGTATCAATTTACTAGACCTCTTTAAGGAGCTCTTAGGCATAGTGCCTAAGGCATTTGACTGCTAACCAGAAGGTTGGCAGTTCAAGCCCACCAGCCACTCCGCAGAAGACTGGGCAATCTGCTTCTGGGAAGATCTACCACACTCTTTTCTTTACTTCCACCCCAGACATCAGCTGGCTAGTTTTCTATTTGGAGCCATTTTATTTAGTTTCTTTGAGTTTTGCCTACAAAGTCACCCACACTATGAAAACGTATATTCCAAGAAGCTGGCCACGTCAATCTCACAGCGCCCAACAACTGAGAAGTAGCACTGTCTTTTTAGTCACACAGAGTAAACATGCAGTTTTAAGACAGCAAACTTTAGGCACACGCTGCCAGGTTTGGGCAGTTCTCATTCAGGACCTTGCCTTATCTTACACTCTATACAGAACCCTTGTATCAAGACAGTGATATGCTACAGCCATTTAACAGGCTTGAGACCAGTTCTGTCGTGGCTGACAGAATGAATCAGAACAGACCCAAATTCATAAAATGTGGGTGTACCAGGATGACTGGAACAGCAAAAATTACAGGTCACCCTGCAATGGGATATGCAGAAGCTGCATGGTGAGAACTTTCAGGAGTCTGACACGCAAAACTGTAGGCAATAGATTTGCTTGCCTTGCAACACGTACACTGCCCTAACAGAGAGACTAAGTTTCTAATAGGGCTGCAGCTGTAACTTTTTTTTCCCATTCCGGTTATTGCTTTATTTTTGTTTGTTGTCGAGTCGGACCCAACTCACAGTGACCCCTCCTTGGGTTTCTGAGGCAGTATCACTATGGAAGTAGATTGCCCAATCTTCCTTCCGAGGAGTGGCTGGTGGGTTTGAACTGCCAGCCTTCTGGTTAGCAGTCAAGTGCTTTAGGCATTACGCTACCAGAGCTCCAGGTTATTGCTTTAGTTCACCCAAATTATAGAAATTCTTATCTGTTTTCTGGTGTCACATATCTGGCTATGATCAAAACAGAATGAACTGGGTCGAAGCTCTGGAATACCATGAAGGAATTAAAGGGGCCAGTAGTTGAAGGGACTCAATTACAGGAGGAATAAGGGAAGAGGGTAGATCAGACCCTATGCCTGTGTTTACTGTGGATGCAAACAAATGAAACTATCTTTACCTAACATTCAAAGACTTACAGGCAAGAAAATAAGCAAAGAACAATGCTTAGGAAAGACTTCCAATCATGCTTGGCCAACTCGGACCTCTGGTGGCACAGTGGATAAGCATTTGGTTGCTAACTGGAAGGTCAGCAGTTCAAACCTGCCAGCTGCTCCATGGAAGGAAGATGGGAGTGATCTATTTCCATAGAGATTTACAGCCTCGGAAACCCAATGGAGGTCGCTATGAGTTGGAATCAACTCGATAGCAGTCAGTGTGGTTTGGTTTGGCTAAGTCAGGGAAGTAGTCACAGACACAGACTAATCTAAGCCTTCAAGGGGAATATGGCTCCTAGATAGATGTCAAAGGCAAGCCTGGGAACCATGGCTACTTTATAAGTTGAAACTGAAACAGTGTCCCTTCCCATCACTGGGATGGGTGCAAGGCTGTCTCTGGATTCATTCTCACTTCTTGAGATGCTCACCTTGTGGGCATAAGGTGATTATAGTTATAAACTTTCACAAAAGACTTGATCTTCGATCTCTTGGCAATTTTCTTCTTGCCCATGGCAGCTGTCACTTTACGGGGATAGCGGTCAATTCCAGCCACCAAAGCATGGCTGTAGGGGCGGTCTGAGGTGCCGTCATCAATGTTCTAAATAAGAGAGCATTACATTTGACATTAATTGAGGCGGCCTATTTAGGGCAGGTGTGGAAAGAATACTCCCAACCCCTAGTCTCAGAGAAACCCACTACAAAAAGAGAAAATGCATATAACACAAGGCAAGTCCTGTACCAGACCCCCAGATGGTTTACAGGAATCTAGAAAGGCTTCTGGAGATAAGAGATTTTAAAAAAAAAAAAAAAAAAAAAAAGAACACGTATAGTAGAGTGCATGCTATGTGCCAAGCCCAGTGCTTAAGATTTTTACATCTAATAAAACTCCCTTCCTGGTTACACTGCTGTTTTTAGTTGCTTTTTTCTGTTAGAAAGCTGGAACACCTCTGGTCCCCCATCCCATATTCCTGCAACTGGTCTTGCGGTGGTAGGTTCCACCTCCGACTTACAGAGAACTGCTCTGTAAAGGTTTCAAGACTGTGACTTTTCAGATGCAGATCACCAAGTCTGTACTCTGAGGCATTTCTGGGTGGGTTCCAACTGTTAACTTTTCCACTAGCAGCTGAGCACATAACCTTTTGTGTCACCCAGGGACGCCTGATCACACTGTTGTTAAGGGGTAAAGTCAGGATTCAAACAGTGGCAGCATCACTCCAGGGCCTGGGCCTTCTACCACCAGAAGACCAGTTTCAGGTAGATGGCAGAGGGGGAACCAGTAGTGTCCCAGGGGTCCTAACAGAAAAAAGCAACAGTGTATGTGGCTGGAGCCTAGAGCAATCTGTCAAGAGCCTACAGAAAAGGCAGGTAGGAGGCAAACAGTTAAGCCCCATCAAAGAAGCCAAGCTAAGTATGAGTCTGAACCAAAGATAAGCCAATTTCTTGAGAAATCTGGTGTCTCTTTGCTCAAGGATTTTTTGCAGTTTTTTCTTGACTACCATGAAAAAGGTGATAATTTTGACTAAAAGCCAATTTCTCTTAAGAGTTCTAGCTACACCACTTACTACCTGTATAATCTAACGTAAATCAATTACCATCTCTGACCCTTGCTACACACCTGTGAAGTACTGCCTGACACCAAGCAGGCATTCAGTAACTGTTGGTCGCTATCATTGTTGTTTAGTCTCTGGTGGAGAATACATTAGCTATCATGTGTTCAAGACATCTCGCGTTTGCTTTTATTTTGTATCTTCCTCTCTCAAGAGGAAGCAACTCTGGTGGCGTTGCGGCTTAAGCATTTGGCTGCCAAACAAAAACGCGGTTCGATCTTACCAGCCTCTCTGCGAAGGATGAGGCAGTCTGCCTCCGTAAAGATTTACAGACTTGGAAACCCCTATAGCGCAGTCCTATTCTGTACCAAAGGGTCGCTATGACTCGGAAACAACTTGATGGCCGTAGGTTTGGTCTCTTAAAAGAAGGGGATCCTAGTGGTGCAGTGGTTAAGCGCTCGGCCTAACCACTGAAACCGCGGCGGCACTAACCCACCAGCTGCTCCGCGGGAGGAAGGTGGGTAGTCGGCTTCCGTAAAAATTTGCAGCCTTGAAAACCCCGTAGGTAATTCTACTCTGTCCTAGAGAGTCGCTACGAGTCGAAATCGGATCGACGGCAGTGGGTCTGGAAGTTTCTCTCAAAAGCCTGCACGCATTCACTCTCTGAACCCGCAACATTCAGCAGTAACTGTTCCAAAACCTCCGAAGCCTCTCGGGTTTCCGCGACACGAGGGCGTAGAGGTGCCCGCGGCAGATACCTTTACGATGACGGCTTTACGTCCGGAGTAGCGTCCGGCCAGGACCAGTACCACCTTCCCGGGTTTCATAAACTTGCCCATTTCTGCAGACAGCAAGGAGAAGGGGTCACTCAGAAATCCGGACAGCTAAACACCCTCTGGATGAGTCCTGCCCTCAAGCAGGGGCCCCAACCCTCGATCGTCAGACTGAGCTCACTGCCGGCATGGCCCAGGCGGTTCGCCAGATCCCCCACGAAACCGTCAGAGGCTGAGAAACAATGCATCTGGTGCTTAACCGCAACACAAGCCCCTCGCCGAGGATGGAGGCAGATTGCAGGACCCCTCCCAAACTTCTACTTACCGACAGTAATCAGCCAGGACGACACCAGAAAGAAAGAAAAAGCACTTCCGTTGACCTTTCACCCGGAGAGATGTGACCTCACTTCCGGTCTCCCCTATTGGGTCTTGTTACACTACTTTGTCGTTGCTCAGCTTCTGTGTTGTGGGCGGAAGAAGCTCGTGAGGGAAGAGCAGGACCTGGCAAAACACTTATTTGAATCAAACTTTATTAGTAGCTCCGGTAGTATACAGAGCAGAGGAGTCCCGTCTCTGGCGTCCTGAAGAAGAGGTAGGTCGGCTGGTGTTGCGTGGTGTTATTCCGCTCAGCTGCTGTGCTGCGCTCTTTGTTAAGTTTCGTTCCTTGGCGCTTGTGTGAACTCTATTGTTTTTGCTTTAGAAGATGCCAAGAACAGGATGGGACATTTTGGTGCCTACCGTATGCACTTTGTTGGGGGCATAAAGAGGGAGAGACAAAGGTTAATCTTTTCCCCAACATTTAGTTGATGTCACAGACATTACCAACTAGAATAAACAGTAAAGGACAGCGATGGTGATAATAGCAGTTGTTTATCCTGTGCCAGGCAGAGTTAACAATTTCCATACATTATTTCATTTGAGCCTCATAACACTAGGCGATAGGTAATACCATTATCTCCATTCTGCTGTTGAAGAAACTGACAGGGAGTTTAAATAACTTGTTCCAAATCCATAGCTAGTAAGTGGTGGAGCTGGAAATCAGATTCCAGCAGTCAAACTGCTGAACTCATGCTTTTTACCATGTCATTGTACTGACACTTGTTCTATGCCACACAAGGTGCTAAAAAAACAAAATAAAACAAAGAACCAAACTCACTGCTGTGGAGTTGGATCAGACTCATAGCCACCCCTCCTTGGGTTTCCAAGTTGGTATCACTATGTAAGTAGATTATCCAATCTTCCTTTTGAGGTGTGGCTGGTGGGTTTGAATGCTAGGCTTCTGGTTAGCAGTCAAATGTCTTAGGCACTACACCACCAGAGCTCCTGCACAAGGTGCTAGCATTACCTGGAAACTTACTAGAAATGCCAATTCCCAGGCCTCATCCCAGACCTTCCTAAATCAATAGCATGTTGAATCGTCCTGCCTCTGTGTCTTGAGTATTTCCTTCCCACTTTGGCATGAGGAAACAAGAGATTCAGAGAGGATAAATTCTCTTTCTTGATTGAACATGACGGTGGCAAAAATGGGCTTCAAATCTGGATGTGGAACCCAGGTCTACTTGGCACTCAAACAGAATTATTTTCCATCACTCGCAGGAAGAGTATTTTTAGATGGAGTTCAAAAGGACAACCCATCCCAGTTTTTCCTCAGCTGAGCATTGAAGAACCTACAGAATTGGTCTTGAGGCAAGATGGGAAGACAATCAGCATAAAGAGTTGCATTAATTCTCTTCTTGAGGCTCTTCAGGGACCAGTTTCCCCCACAGCCCTCTGGGCTCCATTCCAATGGTTTGTCACACAATTATGTAGTTGTATTTTTATAATCCACTCCCATCAAGTCGATTGCAACTCATAGCAACCCTATAGGACAGAGTAGAACTGCCCCATAGTGTTTCCAAGGCTGTACATCTTTACTGAAGCAGACTGCCTCATCTGTCTCTCACAGATTGGCTGGTGGGTTTGAACCACCAAATCAGCAGCTTAATGCTTTAACCACTGTGCTACCAGATATTCAATTAAAATACTTTAATTTGTATTATAAAATTTTAGAGTTGGGACATCAGAGATCATCTGCTCCAACCTCTCTCAAAGATGAGAAGACACTTCTAGAGCTGTAGTTAGAGAGCTCGTGGTGCAGAGCAAGGGCTCCTCGTTCCCAGCCCAGTATTCTCCCTATTACACACCTGTCGGTTTCTGTCTCCCTGGTCTTCTAGTCTCCTTATCTACTTCTGCCCCTTTGCTGTTTCTCTTTTGGAATGTAAGAACCAAACCCTGGAACCTTGTAATCACCTTAGATTCTTCTTAGATACTCCTGTTGCCATTGAGTTGATTCCAACTCATCAACTCATAGTGCAGAGTAGAACTGCCCCATAGGGTTTCTAAGGCTAGACTCTTTATGGAAGCAACCTTACCTTTCTCCCATGGAGAAAATGCTATGGGTTCAGTTAGCAGCTGAGCATTTAACCACTCTGCCACCAACTACAGCCCTTGCTGACATACTCAAACCAAACCCACTGCCATCGAGTCGATTCTGACTCATAGCGACCCCCTTTGGGTTTCCAAGGGGGTAAATCTTTACAGAAGTAGATTGCCCAGTCTTCCTTGCATGGAGTGGCTGGTGGGTTTGAACCACCAACCTTCTGGTTAGCGAATGCCTTAGGCACTATGCCCCCAGAGCTCCTTTGCTCACATATTACCACCCTACAAATCAAATTAGTAACTAAATCCTGTGAATTTGCCTGTATGTTTTCTCAATCTTTCTTTTCTATCCTTTTATACCTCTTCCCTAACTGACCTGGCCTGAGTTCTTTCTCCTCTCCAAGCTTCAGTGTGGATCGGAATCACCTAGGATGCTTGTTAAAGATCATCTCCAATCCTAAAAGATTCTGATCCAGGTCTGGTGTGGAGCTGTATGATCTCACTGGAGAAGCTGTCTGAACACAACTCTTGAGTCCACCCCTAAAATCCTTTCTGGTCTCTTTCCTGAAGTTGGAACTCTCACTTACCTTTCCTTCAGCACAAGTTCCATGACTCCTCCATACCCATCGTATTCCCCCCTGGGATCCAGGCAAACATCTTCTGAGCCTTGGGGTTTTTACTCAGACTGTTCATGTGTCTTGGTTTTCCCCCACTCCATGTCTCGGGGCCTGGTGGTGGTAGAGGTAGAATCCTATGCATCCTTCAAGGCCATTCCTGAACTGACTTGAGGCAAAATTAACTGCTCCCTGGTCTGTGCTCCCTGAGGGATCTGTACTTACCTTTACGATAGAATAGATATTAGTTGCTTTGGGTCAGTGGTTCTTAAAGTGTGGTCCAGATCACAGCATCAGCATTACCTGGGAACTTACTAGAAATGCAAATTCCCAGGCCTCATCCCAGACCCACTGAATCAAAAATTCTGTGGGTGTGATCCAGTGATCTGTGTTTTAGTCAGCTACTTATATTTCCAGTTGGCTTGGGTATCTCTCTCCTCAAATTGTGTGCCCCTCAAGGGCAGGGAGTATGTTATCTGTTCTCAGCATCTAACCTCACCCAGGCACTCAGTAACAATTGAATGAATGCAGAGCACCTCAGAAGTCTCTAGCAATGCTCTGCAGATCATACTTGTACAACAGAGCACACTCATCTTTCCGGTGACTGCACTTTCACTGGATACATATCCATGCCTTTTTCTTTCCACTTTTGCATGGTCTTACAGTCCTGGGCTAACTGTACCTCTCTTCCCTTGTCCTGTCTGTTTCATCTCAAGCCAAGAAGAGTCTGTTCTCAGTCATGGTGCAGCTGAAATCAGTGACTAGCAGATAGCTGTGACTGCTGGGATGCTGGCTGGACTGTCTAAGTCATCTTAGGGTTTCATGAAGAACTTGGCGGAGCAATGACTGTCTGCCCATCTCCCTGCAGCCTAGGCTTCTGGCAGCTGAAACTCTTGGCAGGTATGTGAAAAATAGCTTCTTCTCCCCAGAGGGATGGTGGAGTGAAAGAGTGGGGTAAGGAGAAAAAAAAAATCCAGAAGCAGCAGATACAATGTTACATGATAGAGTGGAAAGACCATAGGCTTTGGAGCCAGGTAATTTGAGTTCAAATCCCAGCTCTTCTACCATGAAAGCCTGTGGTTGTTTCCTCAGCTGGAAAGTGAGGATACTGCCTTACTATAATAAGAATTAAATTAGGATGACACACACACAAATGCTTCCTATGACGCTAGCACAAAGCCTTAATACAAGTTGCCTTATGTAAGGATTCAAAAAAGGTAATACTGGGGTGATCCCAAGGCTATGCCCTATCACCTACCCTAAATGACTTTCAGACAAATGGACTCAAAAGTGCCAATTCCAAAAGCAGCATGTGTGGTAAGACCTGCTGTGGGGATGGGACTGTAGCCTGGGCCACAGCCACCTTTGATAATGCCATTATCATAGGTATTATCATCAATTAATGATATCATTATCACTGGTAACAACAAGGGTACTTTTTAGTGAAACAAGGTTAAGGAAACCAAAGCTGAGTTGATCCAGGGCAGGGAGGAGGCAGAAACGTCAGAAGCCAGACAGCTCTCAAGGAAACACTGATTTGGATCAGGTGGGCTGATAATGCCAAGGCAGAGTTAGAAAGCAAGGACAAGGGTTAGCCCCTACGGTCTTTGCAGAGAAGTTACACAAAATACTATGATTTTATTAGCAACCACAGATGTATCATTTTTTACATCATTTTACTTAAACTCTTTTACACAGAAGGTGGACTAATTCTACCCAAATATCAACAATACATTTAAATAATTAACATGTTGCAGAAAAAAGATTAAGTTAAAATGCACTACATAATAGTGCACAGAGAAAGTGCAGCTGGCAATTTAATACATGAAAACAATGCTGAATCAGTAGTGTTTGGAGCCCACTGGGTTTTCCCCCATCTCTGGTTAGTCTTGGAGCCATACCCACCACAAGCAGACTGACAAGTATGAACTGGAACATAATGAAGACCAATTAAGACCATGCTACAGTCAGGTTTACAGTGTTTAGCCCCTTGTCTGTAAACAGCAATCTGCTGTAATACCTATTCCCCCATTCTAGTACCTGTAGTGGAAGAACACTTTAGCAATGATCTAAGGGAGAGGAGCAAGATCAGGCTTCCTTCATCATTTTACCTCCAAGACTAGTGGTAAACCACAGCCAAAGAGGAGCTACAGCCAACATGTGTTCCTGTACGTTCGCCAGGAGTCTCTCGAGTAGATTGCTAATGCCAATGCATTTCCTTCTGAGAAAACTAAGCAGAGTCTTGTTGGAAGGAGTGTAGAGGAAAGTTTACTTGCCAGAGAACATATTCCCAGACATTGGTTCTCCGTCCCCATAAACACCTGTGCTCCAAGACAACAAAAAGACCATTGTCTGTGCTGTGAGAAGAGGCCTACCTGGTCAGGGACAGGTTTCAGTTCTTACCTTTACAAGGGCTCATTCTAAAATCAACCTGCGGTTAACTCCCTTAGAAATGTTGTTCTCAGATCCTCTCATTCCTAGCAGCCCCACCCACCCTGGAGTCAGGAAGAAAGGAGAAATCAGTATTCTTAAAGAGAAATTTAACCTCTGGCCCTAGGACTCTCATACTTGCTTCAAGGAAGATGGCTCCCAACCTGATCCCAACTCAATTAATAAGAACCTCAAATTGAGTGGGTTCTGGGACCAACAACTCGTGTTGTTGCATACTGCCATAAAGAGAACAGTTAGAGCAACCTGACTGTTCTAAAAATCAGACATGGCATGATGAGCTGTGTGTAACAGGGTGTCATGACAGGTATCTCTTACACAGGCTGAAATACACGTGCCCATACGCACACTGTGGCCACACACCCAGGCAGACCCTTTCTAGTTGGGTTTTCTGCATATCTTCTTGAGATGCTAAGCTGGTGGGAAAAACAGACATTGCAGTGATTTGGCTGGCCAGCAAAGCACGGTCGGGGGCACTTCCTCCCACCCTGGAACACTAGCACATCTATCTCTACTGAGTGAGGCACTGGTCGAGGGCCAGGGCACTCGTATCAAAAGGCATCTTTGATGTTCTTGAGCTGGCGCACAGCCAGGTCTACAGGGAGGCTGAACTTGAGGCCGCTGAGGCGACTGAGCAGGTTGAGAGCACTCTCGAAGCCTGTGTGTGCCATGTAGCTCCAGGGCTGGTAGTGGGGCTCGATGAGTGACCCTGACTTGCAGATGAGGTTCACCCAGGACACCAAACGCTGCTCATTCAGTGCCATGCACACCAAGGCCTTTAGCTCTGAGTCTGCGCTGCGCTTAAAAGGGTCATGCTCCGTCAGCACCATGTGTATGGCTGTCAGTAGGCTCTGTTTGGGGGTCATAACGGCTCCCCCCATCACAGGCAGGGCAAAGGACTGGGAGAGCTTCCGGGCTGGAGATTCCACATAAGCACGGCCGTTCTTAGTGTGGTAGTACTTTACAAAGAGCTCCCAGGGATGCATGGTCTCAGGGGCTGAGGAGAAGGTTGGCAGCAAACAAGCTATGGGGGCCATGACAAGGCTCATGCCTGGAGAGGAAGCATACAGCCCATGGGCCAGCAGGTCCCTCACAGCCACTGTCAGCTCCTTTCGCACAGCCATGGTCAGTTCATCCTTGCCTCCCAGAGAGAGGTCCTGGAGGTTGGCAGAAGTGATGACACGGTCGTGTGGCTGGTGCCTCAAGGCCAGCTGTTTCACTCGGTCTACTGCTATCTCCAGCCTCTTCAGTAAAGGAGAGTAGTCTCTGTCAGCCTGGCCCCTGTGCCATAGGGTCTGTGGAATCTGGCCCGTGGCACAACCAAACTGACTGACAGCAAAGATCTGGAGCACGGCCAGCGCTCGTCGCATCAGATGCAGCCCCATCTCATGAACTCTCTTCACGTCTTCTGGCTTCACTGTTTAAATAAAGGACGACGACTCATCAGTGAGAGGCCATACCACACCGAGGCACATGGGACAAGCCACAAGCTGAGATCAGGTCTTGCTTCTGAGTACAGTATGAGCCCATGTAGCTAGGAGCCACCTAGGATGGAGCTGGACCTACCCTATCTATCTAATCAATCAATCTATCTAATCTCTCTCTCTGTATCTCTTTCTCTCTCTGTCTATCTATGTTGCTGATGATGGCTTTATTAAGGTATGGGAACTCTGGTGATGTAGTGCCTAAGGGACTTAACTGCTAACCAGAAGGCTGGTGATTCAAACTCACCAGCCACTCCTGGGAGGGAAGGTTGGGCAATCTACTTCCATCTACTTCTGTAGTGACATTGCCTCAGAAGCCCAAGGAAGGGTCACTATGAGTCAGATCTGACTTGAGGGCAGTGAGTGAGTTTTTTTTAATGATTAAGGTATAGTTCATATACCATACATCCACTTAAAGTGCAAAGTAAAATGTAAATTCTTTCTTTGTTCTTTTTTGGTATATCTAGAGTTGTATAACCATCACCACAGTAAATTTTAGGATATTTTCATCACTCCAAAAAGAAACTTCATATGAGCACCCCTCTCCATTTCACCTCAATCCCCCTAATCCTAGGCAAACAATAATCTACTGTCTATCTCTATGGATTTGCCTATTCTGGAAGCTATACGTAGCATAGTGCCTAAGGCACTTGACTGCTAACCAGATGGCTGGAGGTTCAAATCCATCAGCCACTCCTCGGAAGGAAGGTTGGGCAATTTACTTCCGTAGTGATACTGCCTCAGAAACCCAAGGAAGGGTCGCTATGACTCGGGTCCGACTCGATGGCACATTACAACAACAACACAACATACTTACCTTTGCCATTTCCTGGAGGCAGTCTGCTGCTACCTGTTGTTGTGGATGCACTTCCTGTCTTCCCATTGGCCTTGCACTCACAGTGCCCATCACCTGTCTGCAAGGGGCTTCCCACTTCATCTGTGATCAGAAGTTAGAAGAGCAGACATTGATTAGCCTTTTAAGGCAGATTTTTCAAGGAACAATAATATATACTAGTGCCTACCAAATGATACAAATTTTACAAATATCCTCTAATTTGTTTGTAACAGTGACTGGCTCAATAGATATTTATTTAGTGAATGGAGAATTAATATCCTAAGGAAATCAAGACTAACAAACTCAGTAACCTGCCAAGGACACAAAGCCAGTAAGTGGCAGAGTGGGGATTTTTATACTGCCTGGTTTAAAAACCCGTATTTTTTCCATTCTGCTATACTGGTTCCCTTCCAGGATCAAACCTCTTAAACAGGACATCAAGAACTGTCACCTTTAGGAATTAGTACTCAGAATAAATGCAGTTTATTATTATGTCCACCCTTCTCTCCCCACCCCTCCTCTGACCTTGGATGAAGCTGATGAACATCTCAAGGTCTCTGATCTGGGTCTTCAGTTGCTCAACCAACTGTTCTTTCACACGGACTGGGTTGACGATCTGAGCCACAGCTGCATCCACACGCTGACGGAGTTCTTCAGTGGTCAGTGAGCTAATGTCCTCATTCAGGTTCATGTCCAGTTTCTTTATTAACTCATCTATGATCACCTATGAGACCACATGCAATAAGCATATCTGCTTCTGTTTTTCAGGGAGGGGCAGGGAAAAGGAGAATGGTCACCAGTATGCCTTCTACCTTGATATGAAATCGAAGATTCACACTGCTCCCAAATTTGTAATAGAAAACGGTGCAACTGCTGAATGGCTGAGGGGTCAGCTTCTGTTGTTGTTGTTATTTGCCATCAAGTCGGACCCGACTCATAGCAACCCCTCCTTGGGTTTCCAAGGCAGAATCACTACGGAAGTAGGATGCCCCATCTTCCTTCCAAGGAGTGGCTGGTGGGTTTGAACCACCAGCCTTCTGGTTAGCAGTCAAGTGCCTTAGGCACTACGCCACCAAAGCTCCCTAGCTTCTGTTAACAAACAAAAGGTTTTTTTGTTTCTCTCAGACAGAAATGACTTATCTTGTCCACTGAAAATTTTTCCCCAGGCCAGTCAGTTTTCACTCAGGAGAACCACCATGTGAATATTTGGGCTAAAAGAGATTTAGCTGATTTCTCTTCATTTCTAGTTCTTCTCATTCCGTCTTGCCCTACTCTAAACAACTAAAGAAAAGTCTCTACATAATGACCAGGTGCATCACAGCCAAAAAACAATAAACTAATGACATTATGAGAGCCAATTTGAAACTTGGTAGTGTCATTTCAGCCCAGCCAGAAAAACAGCCCTATCACACACATAAATATAGCATGTAGGGGAAGCTGTAGCTGTGTCTTTTCCAATTGATTTGCTTGATTACCCAGGTCCTGCTTAAGTAAATACAGTATTAATGTCAGTCTGGATTCCTTGAATACTTACCAAGTGACAGTGGGTAGCAGAAAAAAAGGCCCATCTACATCATACAATTTGCCCAAATAGAATTGTTTTAATTACCAAATGGAAGAAATTATCGTTAGTATTCTATTATTGCTATTACTATTTTCAGTAATAGTCACCAAAAAGGAAGGGCTCAGTCATCACATTATGAAGCTTTGCAACCTGTGCTTTCCACGTGTAAATGAAAAATGGGCCCATGTAACACAGCACTTCCTTTGATTCGTGCGGGCTCAGGGATTCTCAGGAAGGCCCAGTGACAGTGAGCTAGGAAGGGATAAATTAACCTTAGGCAGTAGTGGCGGCGCTTCTGAGGTCTGCTCACCCGCTGTCTTTCCAAGACCACAGATTGTGGCAGGGAGTCGTAACTGCCCTCTTGGTAGGCAAAAGTCTCCAGGTCATCTAGCTGGGTTTTGAGCTGTACTATCAGCTCCCTCTGCTTCTCCCTTTGGGTTTCCAGACGCTCCCGTTTCTCCTGCTCACTCTAAGATTAAAAAAAAAAAAAAGGGAAAAACCACTTAGGTCTATTTTCAGGGCATATTTAGAAGTCTCTCTAGCCAGTAATGATGAGTAAAACGTACAATGCTTCCAAATGATCCAAATGAAATAAAGAACTTATAAGGCATATTAAAAAATTAATTATTTCATCCAGGGTAATGTTTTAAACATGGGTTTCTGTTAAGAAAGTATGTGTCCCTCCCTGGAAATAGGGTATGAATACAATGGGGCCTTTTGTGAAGACTGCTTTTTCTCAAAGGTCTAGTTAGGGTTGAGATAACTAATCTTAGCCCAGCCAGCCTCCTAGGAATTAAACATGCCATCCTTCCTAGCCAATCAGTAGAGCTGAACTCCTGAATACTTTGTGCAGTCGTGAGTTTGCAAGAGACTCTGGGGATAAGATGTAGAGAAAGGCTTCATAACTCAAAACCAGTTTTCTTAAACTTTCAAAGTCCTTCTACTGGTGCTTGAGGCACTAAGAAAAATCAAGAAACCAAGTAAAGGGGATTGAGAAGGCAACAATTTTTTAATAATAATAATAAAAGGTCCAGTAGTGGCATAACACACTACACAAAACCATTGTTCTACATCCTACTTTGGTGAGTAGCAACTGGGGTCTTGGATGCTGGCAAATGGCCATCTCTAGATGGCATCTATGCAACAATGGGTCTCTCCTCATCCAGAGCTAAGAAGAATGAGGAAAACCAAAGACGCATGGAAACAATTAGTCCAAGTGACCGGTACACCATGCGATCCTCAGCCTCTATGACCATGAGACCAGAAGAACTAGATGGTGCCCAGCTACCACTGTGAACCACTCAGAGGGGGATCAGTGCAGGAGATCCTGGATAGAGTGGGAGAACAATGTGGAACAAAACTCAAAATCATTAAAAAAAAAAAAAAAAAAAGACCAGGTTTGCTGGTCTGATAGAGCCTGGTGAAATCCCTGAGACCATGACCCCTAGTTACCCTTCAGGTCTGGAGCTGAACTCACTCCAGCCAAATAGACAAGCATATGGGGTGAACATTTATATCAGGCAGATACACTCCTTAGAGCGTTCAATTGTGGTAGAACAAAAGGGAGATTGGGGGGCAGGAGTGCATGAGAAGGAAGGACACAGGGAAGAGGTAATGAGGGGGAAGAAGTGGGAAGAAAGCTGTTGCACTGTGGGGAATTGTAGTCAGTGTCATGAAACAAAATGTGTGTGAACTGCTGTATGGAAAATGAATTTGCTCTGTAAACTTTGACCCAAATCACAGTAAAAAAAAATAGAAAAAAGGTCTGGTAGGTTTCTCTGACCCAGTGACTCTTATCACTGTCAGTCACCAGGTAGTTTATGTATTTAAATTATTCAAAATCTTCATGGTCTTGGCCAACATATTCTCAAGTCTACAGGATATTACAAATATTAAAATGGTACTTACCAAGCCCTCCAGAAGTAAAGCATGAGAGAAAAGAAATGAAACACAAAAATAAGCCTTTTATTCTAGCTATTTTTTCACAATTCTCTTCCTTTGGCTTTGTTCAACATAAAACCAAGCCTTTGTACACGGATTCTCAGATTGTTGCTTTTTCCTACAATCCAGTCCCTCCATCCCTTGCTTCAGAAAGCTTAGCTATCCTCTGAGAGGTTTCCTCCTGTGATCCTCTAGCTCATACTGCACTGTAATTATTTGCTTAGGATTCTGTGTTCCCTAATCTATGAACTCCTTAAAGATAAGAGTATTGACTCTGTACCCTCAACACCCAGCATAATGCCTGGCACTGAGTAAAACTCTCAATATGGCATTTGTTCTATGTTACTGAATTGAATTAGGAACAGAATGACAAATTCCAAATAATGAGCTCTGACTGGAGCAAATTACTTAACCAGCCCCAGAAGAACTGGGGAAATGTTCTTTGTTTTTGTTTTCATTGTATCTGAGCTTTATGAAGCCATGGAAGAAAGAATCAGCCATAAACTGATCCTGTTTTCAGGGCTATGTCTGCTGAACTCTGCCACTTGCCGTGGTAGGTGTTGTTATGTGCCGTCAAGTTGGACCCGACTCATAGCGACCCCTCCTTGGGTTTCCAAGGCAGTATCACTATGGAAGTAGATTGCCCCATCTTCCTTCCGATGCCGTGGTAGGTACCGTATGCTATTTGCTGGAGTATGGCCAAACATTTTTAATAGGAAACAATGAGCTCTGGTGTAAGGCAGGAAGTAGTAGAAATAATTCCTATATGAAGTGAGATAAGAGAAAATACTGTTTTTTTATTTTGTGTTAAATCTGAACTGGTAAGAAGTAACTCACTCAGTGTAATGACATCTCCCACTTTGGCATGACCCATTCACATCAATGCATGCACAAGAAGTGCTTATTAGGAGGGGCAAGCACTACATTTTTTCTGTACATTGTTTCCTAAAGTGAAGATGAACAGCAGTGAAAAGAATTCTTTTGTGGCTGCTTACTCCTGAAGAAGGCCTGGCCACAGTAATTCTTTCTATCCTTTATTTCCTTAAAAGCCTAGCAACCTGTGCGAGGAGCTGTGGGAAGCTGGAGAAAAGGGTGGCATAGTAAGCACAGGATTGCATTGGAAATGTTTCAGATTTAAATAAACAAGGTGCTATTTGCTAATGATAAGTCTTTTTGGCTAAAATCAATTTAAGTGGGAAGAAGGCCATGTGTGGGTTGTAATTTGAGTAAAAAGGTGGAGAAAAAGCGTATGTCTCTTCAACACCTCAAGCTATCTGCACTTCCAGAGAGTCAAAGCCTACAAGGACACTTTCCCTTGGCTTGGTATTCCTAGTCTCATCAGTTCTCAGTGTCAGCTAACTGAATAGATCTTCTTGTTACAGTTACCAGCAAGAACTCATTCAGAATGCCTAGTTATAAAGCAGGATTGTGTGTGTGTGTGTCTTAAATACCAACATTAGGAAATTCGTATCATCAGGAGTTGTGTTTCTTTCAATCACTAACACATCTTGCTCTCATCCAGACAACAAACAGATTCTAAAGAGTAAAAATTTCCTCTAGATTCCAGGAAGGCATGGACAGGAAGTTCCATGGCTTCTAACTCACTTTTAAAACAGCCCAGTTTCCCCAGTCCCCAGAGCTGGAGGACTCTATCAGAAAATGTTAGGCACTTTACCAGGTGAACGCAAGGTGAGCGGCAGGAGTATCGCTTCGGCTGCAGTAGCCCTTTCAATGTTCCCTTTGCTCGCCACTCTCCACTCCTCACGTCATCACACCTGCATCTCTTCCTTCCACGTCCTCCACCGAGCCCCGCATACCGGTCTCCAGTCTGCACGTTTCCAGCACACATACTCACTCAGCACTACCCACTCCCCTCCCTCTATTTCAATATTCCTCGGGGCCAGGCCCCAGCGTCTCACCTGGTCCTTCCCCCACAACCGTTGTCGGTCCCCCGGCAAACCGTCGCCCTCCTCGCTGGCAGGGTCCTCGTGGTCCCCGTAACCCAGGACATGAGGGCAGCCGCGGAAGGCGAAGTCCTCGAGTTCGCGCAAGAGACGCTGCTGTTCCGCCGGCGACCCGCGTACCACCTGGCGCAGGCGGAACTGCACCTGCGCGAAGTGCGAAGACAGTGCCAGCAGAGCCGAGTCCAGCCGCCGCCGCTCGGCCCGAAGCCGCCGTAGCGTCCGACCTGGCGAGTCCGGCGGAGAGGCCGGGGCCACACCGGACTCCTCGGCCGACGCCTCTTCCGAGAACGTACCTGCCCCAGGCCCAGCCTCCGCCACCGCTCCCACTGGGGCCCAGCGCACCGTCTCGCACGGTGGCAGCGACTCCTCGTCCTCCTCCTCTTGGTCTTTCGCCTTTGGCCCAACGGCCGCCACTACAGTTACCGGCTCCGCAGAAGCTTCGACAGCCGCCATTTTCCAGGAAACGCTGCCGCACGTCAGCCGCTCCCCCTGCTGCCATGGCAACGGCGAGCTGGCTGGTTGACAGCGAGAACGAGTGGGCGGGGTTTACAGTCGGCTCTCTTGCGGGACCGGCCTTCTCTCAGATTTGATTAGATTCATTATGTTTTGGGAGCTGTGGTAGCATAGTGGCTAAGACACTTGCCTGCTAATCAGACGCCTGGCGGTTCAAACCCACCAACCCTTCCTCGGAAGGAAGGTTGGGCAATCCTGCTTCCGTAGTGATACTGCCTCGGAAACCCAAGGAGGGGTCGCTATGAGTCGGGTTTGACTCGATGGCACATAGCAATAACATTATGGTTTTTTATTGAGCGCCTGTTGTAAATCAGGGAGCTCTGGTGGCGTAGTGCCTAAGGTGTTTGACTGCTAACCAAAAGGCTGGGGGACCCACCAGCCACTCCTCGGAAGGCAGGTTGGGCAGTTTACTTCAGTTGTGATACTGCTTCGGTAACCCAGGAGGGGGTCGCTAAGAGTTGGGTCCGACTGGATGACAGTGAGTGAGAGTGTTCTAAATCAAGCACTGAGTCTGCTAAGCATTGGAAACACAGATGAATAAGACGGGGGAGAAATGCTCCTTGCGGCCTAACCATGATTCCATGTGTATAGCGTCTAATCTAGCTCTTGCCCAGACCCCAGCGGAGGAATCGTCTATTTCGAATCCGTAATTTTCCGCGGAACCCCGGGATGTGGAGGGCTGCAGGGATTTTGTTCTCCCAGAGTCTCCGAAGTGCAGATCCCTTGTCTGTAGGGTCACGCTCTCCCTCCCTCCCACCTTTGCCCCTACCATATAAGGACAGGCAGCTGCTGGGGGCGTCCCCAGGATCTAAAGATAGCTGCCCCTGCCTGGGACTCCAAACCCCACGGGGCAGCGGGAACCGCCATGGCGCGGTGAGTGTCTCCAGCCGCGGGACTCCCTCTGGCCTTTTCCCCCTGGAAATTCCCTGTTCCCCATCTTCTCCTAGGCGTTCCAGGTTCTGCGAGGTCCCATGGGAGCCCCAGATCCCCAGCTCTCCTTAACTGTGGGATGAGGCCAAGTGTGACTTGAATGTGGTCCTTAATTCCCTACCTCTCCACTTACACTTTCGATTCTCCCTAGATTTCACCCACACTCCACATACCCACTCCAGTCACTCCCGCTCCACCCCCTCGACCCTAGTCTCATTTAGCTCCACTTTTGACTAGACTACGTCCCTGTATTTTTCCCTCCCCCACCTTTCCCAAATGCCCCTCAGTCTTCCCTTTCCCACCCTATGAAGCCCCACCTCCACTCCTCTCCAGGCAGCACGCCCGGACCCTGTGGTACGACAGGCCCAAGTATGTGTTCATGGAGTTTTGCGTCGAGGACAATACCGATGCTCAGGTGCTCATCGAAGACCACCGCATTGTGTTCAGGTAATGGCCCTCCCCTCCTTAGTTCCAGGCTGCCCAACAACGTTTCCTTTTCCCCTCAGCCTCCTACCGTTGTCTCCTTAGCTGCAAGAATGCCGATGGAGTGGAGTTTTACAACGAGATTGAGTTCTATGCCAAGGTGAACTCCAAGGTAAAGGTCTGGATGGAAGGTTTGCCCAGAGAAACTGGAGATTCATTCTAAACCTCACACCCTAAGAATGAGGTGCTCTGTCTGACAGGACTCCCGGGATAAGTGCTCCAGCCGCTCTGTTACTTGTTTTATGAGGAAGTGGAAAGAGAATGTGGCCTGGCCCCGACTCACCAAGGAGGATATCAAGGTGGGTGTGAGGGGAGCTGCTATTCCCTGTGACCTCTATCCATGTTCCTGGTACCCAAGTTAGATCAGGGAATTACCCTTGCCTCCCTTCCCACCAGCATTCACTCACTCACCAGGTCCTGACAATTTAATCTCCTCAACATTACTTTATATATAATTTACATTTTTGTTGTTGCTCAGAATACACACAGCAAAGCATGCATCACAGTTTCTCCATGTACAGTTCAGTGACATTGAATGGCAATTCATGTACGATTCAGTGACATCCACTCACCTTTTCTGAGTTGTTTTTCCCCAACTGACATCAATTCACTGCCCCCTAAGGTTCTTATCTAACCTTTAAGGTTCCTGTTGTCAGTTTGATTCCATATAGATAGATCTTAAACAAGTACAATGTTCAAGACAGACTTTTTTTTTTCAGTTAAACTGTTGTTTGGCTTTAAGACTTCAGGGGATATTTTTGCTTTCAGGTTTAAAGATGATCTCAGGGCAACAGTTTCAAGGGTTCATCCAACCTTCATGGTTCCGGGAAGTATGGAATCCATGAGAATTTGAAATTCTGTTCTGCATTTTTCTCCTTCTGATCAGGATTCCTCTACAGTGACCTCCTCAATATTCCTGAATCCATTACTTGGTCACTTAGTTCCTGCCTCATCTATCACTGGGTAGAGTATGTTGCATATTTTCATCCCCACCCTCAACCCATCAACTGCTTGCTTCCAGCTTGGTGTGTCTAAAACACACATTTGACACTGTCACTCTCCCACTTAAGACCCTCCAGTGGCTTTTTCTTCCCTAAAGTTTGAAACTACCAGCCACTCCTCTGAAGGAAGGTTGAGCAATCTACTTCCATAGTGATACCACCTCAGAAACCCAAGGAGGGGTCGCTATGAGTTGGATCTGACTCCAGGGCACATAATAACAACAAAGGTTGAAAACTGGATATGACTGGCAAATTTGTTTTTGCAGTCTTCACAATGTTAAAAATTGGCTTTGTGTGGTTACTTCATTGACATTTAAAAATGTGGAGATTTCCCCTGAGATAACCTTTAAACCTTAAACCAAAATCCAGCCCCACTGGTCTAAATTCCCAAGTGCTGAGAGTTGGAACTTTAAATGAGGCCCACACTGCACTTCACTGTATGCCTTTTCATGATCCTCCTGACTTTTTCAGGCACTTGAGCTTGGGATTTCCTGCTGCTAAAGTCCGTGACCCACCAGTTTCTTCAGTCTGCAGCCTTATATTCCATTATTCTCTGCCTCTAACTTTACATTCCAAGTTTAGCAAGCTGCCTCTAGCACTTGCAACCAGCAAACTGTCTCTCACTTCGATACCTTTGCTCAGGCTGTACCTACTTCTTGGAAACCTGTCACCACATCCTTCGCCCGCCTGACCCAGCTCATCCTTCAAGGCCCTGTTCCTCCAAGAAGCCTGGGTTCCCATAAGTTCATAAGACCCCCTACATAATGCCTCCACCACACTACATAACACCTCCACTCCACTCCCCACAGCATCATAGTGATTTGTTTACGTCTTCTTCCCCTGCTTACTTCCCAATGGCTGAGACACTATATTGAACCTTTTTATAAACCCAAAACCAAACTCAGAGCCTGGTACATAGTACGTGTTCAGTAAATATCTGCTAAATGAATGACTGAATAACTTTTCTCCCTGCCTAAGTGTGAAAACTTTGGAATATGACTCTTGAAGGCTTTTCTCTGACTCCAAGGAATGCAGCTTGTCTGTCTCATTGTTTGGCTTCTGTGATGCCTTATAATATAGCTGTAATATGTTGTCTCTCTCGTTAATCTATAAGATCCTAGAAGGCAGAACTTCTACGCTTTTTTATCCCCTACAATGTCTAGCTTTGAGCTCAGTACCAAACACCAAATTGAAACCATTGCCATCGAGTCAATTCTGACTCATAGCAACTCTATAGGAAAGAGTAGAACTGCCCATAGGGTTGTCAAGATTATAAATCTTTACAGAAGCAGACTGCCTCATCTTTTTCCCACAGAGTGGCTGGTAGGTTCGAACCACTGACCTTTTGTTAGCAGCCCAATGCTTTAACTACTGCAGCACCCTAGTAAATCTTTGTGGATGATGTTGTTGATGATACGGCAGCCTGGAGAGGGGCTAGGTAGGCAGAGGTGGTCTGTTGGAAGAACTGTACCCCCATCGATCCTTTCTCTCCTCTTTCTTGCACTTCTGCTGCTGCCCTGCCAACCTGTGACTCCCTCTGGTTCCTATTTTAGCCAGTGTGGCTGTCTGTGGACTTTGATAACTGGAGAGACTGGGAAGGGGATGAAGAGGTCGAGCGGGCTCATGTGGAACATTATGCAGAGGTAAGAGAGACAGCACCTGCTGCTTCTGGCCCACCTCGATCACTCTCTTCTCTGTGCACAGTTTTGTGAGGATTGTCACCATGGCCAGGCAGAAACACACAAACTTCCAGGCAGGCTACTCATCGGTGCTGATCTTCTTTACATGTTTTGTGCAATGTTTATTTAGTAGAGGTGAAAAAAAAATGCTATTCTATTAGTAAAATTGTATAAACAGATTCACTTACTAGTCACAGGGTAGAGCCTGTGTTCTGGAAAAGTTTGGAAAAATCTTTTCCCATTTTTCTGTAACTCATGTTCTCACTTCTGTTTTGGGTTAATTTTCACCCCCCTAAACCAGACAATTCTGTGGGAAGCTGAAAGTAAACAGTATGCAACAGATATCATAAACTAAACCACTAGTTCCCAATACATAGCACCTTGCCAGATGTTACTTGGTTTCGTAATTTCAGCTATTATTTATTCAAGTTGTAAAACCTAATAGACACTAACCTGTCTGTAAGGAGTGGACTGTGTGTGTAAATATCCTTTTATGGACTTTTGAAGAAGGGGGCAGTTGCTTGGCTGTTTCTGGCCGGAAGGTTCTCCGTGGGCCATTAATATGCAGATTTCTCTTCCCTCACCCTTTTCTCCTTTGTGACTACTTTTCTTGTCTCATCAGCTTTTGAAGAAGGTCAGCACCAAAGGACCTCCCCCTACCATGGATGACCTGGATGTAAGTCAAGCTTGCCCTTGGACCTTTCCGTTTCTTTTTAACCTTTAAAATAAGTGCCTGCCCTAGTCCCTGGCGTATAGTTCTTAGTGCATTTTAGGCGATTCTGATCTTGACACAGGCGGTTGAATGTTCTTCTCTAGGGCTTTAGACAACCCCAGCAAGACCCTCCTCCTCTCTACCTAGCTGCTACTTCCCAACCCTACAGCAGACCAGTCCCTGTTGAGTATGTGCACAGCTCCAAGGAGCAATTGCCTTAATCAAAATTAGGAAACTAAATGATACATGATGTAGTGCTATTTATTGGGTACCAGTGGTTCATTTTATTCTTCAGCATTTAAATCCTTTTGCATTAAGCTCTCCAAGAAGTTATGTGGTTTAGAAAATCACAGGAGAGGACTGTGAGAGTAGGAAGGCATGAGCAGCGTTTTTGAACACAAGGGTTCACTATAGAGTTTGAGACTGCAGATGCTTTTGTCTTTTTTTTTTTTTTTTCGGTCCCCTAGGATGATTCTGACAGCACCGATGTAACAGGTAAGGTATCACGGAAGATGCTTCCTGGGACAGTGTAAAATGGAGGAGGCTTTGGCTATCTTCCAGTCATTTGCAAGCTCTTTGCCTGTCCACCAGGGTCCTCTGGGATCTCTGAACTTCCTTACAAACTCTTTATTAAAAAGTCCCCTTCCTGTTTTATGTTTCCCTCTTAGGCACTTGACTGTGCTTACTGCATCAGATGGCAGGATGGGGAAGGAGTACACTGGTGGGGCTTCAGATTTCCCAACGGTTGCCTCAAAATCTCTTTGTTTGGGCCACTCTTCATGCTCTGTTGAGCATTTGAATTTATATGTGTATGTGGCAGAGTGAAAGCCAAAGAGGAAGCATATGGATTATAATAAATCTCAGGAACTGTTAGCTGTCTCTTTCCTTCTTGTACTTCTTCCTCCTGGAGTCAAGTCTCTTCTTCCTCTAGAGTTCCTCCCAAAAGAAGGGATAGGAGAGGGTATCAGAGATCCTGGCCTTTGTTATTCAGGTCAGATATGTGTTCCTGTCTCTGGTCTCTGGCTTTCCTTACATAGCTAATACTGGTGTCCTGAGAACCAGCCAGAAACCTCTCAGCTTCCTGCACATGCCAGAAATTTCTTCATGCTTTTAAAACTAGATGTGACTCTAGTTAGTATCTATATTTTTTTGCCCCTCTGTTCATCAGCTATCCTATTCACACACAGTTATTTTTTGAGTGCCTAACATACACAAAAAGAATCCCTGATGGCACAGTGGTTATGTGCTCAGCTGCTAACTGAAAGGTCAGCAGTTACAATCCACTAGCTGCTCCACAGGACAAAAATGTGGCAATATGCTTCCATAAAGATTTATACCCTTGGAAATCCTATGAGCAATTCTGTTGTGTCCTGTAAAAAAAAAAAAAACCAAACTCACTGCCTTTGAGTTGGTTCTGACTCATATAGTGATCCCTCTTTGGGTTTCCAAGGTGGTATGTCTGCAGAAGTAGACTGCCCAGTCTTCCTTAGGAGCAGTGGCTGGTGGGTTTGAACCACCAGCCTTTTGGTTATCAGTCAAATGCCTTAGGCATTACACCACCAGAGCTCCTATTTCTGTCCTATAGGGTCATGGAAGGAACTCTGGTAGCATAGTGCCTAAGGCATTTGACTGCTAACCAGAAGTCTGGCAGTTCAAACCCACCAGCCATTCCTTGGAAGGAAGGTTGGGCAATCTACTTCCATAGTGATACCGCCTCGGAAACCCAAGGAGGGGTCGCTATGATTTGGGTCCAACAGCGAATAACAACAACAGAGTCATGGACATCAAGTCATCAACAATAGGTTTGGTTTGGTTTTTTTTTGGGGAATATGTATAAGAGACTGTGACTTAAACAAAATGCAGCCACAGACTTTGCCCTTAAGCTCATGGCAAAGTATCAAGATTTATTTTTAAAATAAACTTTAAGAATTGTATGTATATATATGTAGTATATGGACATAGTGAAATATAAAAGGGTATAACATTTTAAATTTACAACCCCCTCATAGGGGTAGCCAATATTAACAATTTCTCCCAAGAAGTTACATACATAGTAAACATATATAACCCACTGCCATTGAGTTGATTCTGACTCATAGTGACCCCCACTGGGTTTCCAAGGCTGTAAATCTTTATGGAAGTAGATTGCCTCATCTTCCTCCCACAGAGCAGCTGGTGGGTCTGAACTGCTGACCTTCTAGTTAGCAGCCAAATGCCTTACCCACTATGCCACCGGAACTCCTTAGTAAACATACACATATATAAACTCAAACTCACTGCCACTGAGTCAGGTCTGGCTCATAGTGACCCCTCCTTGGGTTTCCAAGGAAGTATTGAAACTGGATGGAGTCAAAGTTGTTCAGCCTGCATCCCCTGGTTGAAGGCAGATAAGTAAATACTGTTAGGCCGAAGCAAACCCAAGCCACCAACATTTCGGTGTCAAGCCCTGGTGAGACAGCCTGATAAGACAACCGAAGTGACAGAACCCGCCCAGACTGGAAAGTCCCATGCAGTGACAAACTTCCTCTTGTGAAGCCCCCTCATGCTAATTAAGTGCAGACACATACTAACAGCTAATTGGGCCCCGCCATTTCCTTAGTGTCCCCACTTAGGTCCTCCACAAGACTATAAACCCTACCCTCCCCAGCCAGGCGGTGCGACTTTTCCGGCCGCTCTCAGGGACCCGTAAACCTCACCCGGAAACTCAGAATAAAAACTTCTCTTTAACCTCACTTTTGTGCGCCCTCTTCTCCTTACTGTGGCCTTACAAATACAATAACTCAGTTCCTTAAGAACTGAATGGAATGAAAGGTCAATTTACACATCGTCTCCCCCAGGGTTATCCCCTAGAAACAGGTGATAAATATGTTAATATGTTTCTTAGGAGACAACTTGAAAAGTGACCTTAGACATGTGCAGGGAGAAGAATGGGAGCAAAGTTGCTGGGAACTGGCTAAGCCCCATTAGATGATGACAGGAAGCAAGTGTGACTCATCTGGTGCGCAAGTGAACTGCATTAAAAAAGACTGTCCTTTTAAACCGAGGTGAAGGAAATTTCAGCCAATCATCAACTATCTCATGTCCAAATTCCTGAATTTTTTTTATGAATATGATAACCCTCCTTCCTGAAACTTACAAAAACTAATTCGATTTAGATTCAGGGAGTCAGATTTGGGTATGGACCCCTGTCTCCTTGCATTGCCACTTTGCAATAATTATCTCTCCTCTTAATCACTCGATGTGTAAACTGTTTTGATCTGACTGTGCACGGGCAGGGACCTGCGTTTGGTCCTATTTCAGTATCACTACAGAAGTAGATAGCCCAATCTTCCTTCCAAGGCATGGCTGGTAGGTTTGAACCACCAGCCCCCTGGTTAGCAGTCAAATGCCTTAGGCACTACCCTACCAGATCTCCTTAAACACACATATATAAGGAAATTATATATGTATATATATATACACACACACACACACATACATACTTTATATTATAAATTCCCTAATACCTATATTTTATATTGTTATAAGATATTATTATATAAAGGTATTATTATATGTTCTTGTTGTTATATGCCATCGAGTCAGCCCCGACTCATAGTGATCCCTCCTTGGGTTTCTGGGGCAGTATCACTATGGAAGCAGATTGCCCAATCTTCCTTCCGAGGAGTGGCTGGTGGGTTTGAACCGCCAGCCTTCTGGTTAGCAGTTAAGTGCTTTTAGGCACTATGCTTCCCGAGCTCCCAAAGCAATATATAATATACAGAGATTATATAGCATTATACATTGCTAATATTACTATGATTATATATTTTATAAACTTATCTGTCACTTTGTTGTACTGTGGTGGCTTGTGTGTTGCTGTGAGGCCGGAGGCTACACCACCAGTATTTCAAATACCAGCAGGGTCACCCTCGGTGGACAGGTTTTCAGTGGAGCTTCCAGACAAACACAGTCTGGGAAGAAGGAATGGGCCACTCACTTCTGAAAAAAAAATTGGCAACTGAAAACCTTATGAATAGTAGTGAAACACTGTCTGATCTATTACTATAATATATATTATATATATCTATATATATGTTGTTGTTGTTATGTGCCGTCGAGTCGGCCCTGACTCATAGCGACCCCTCCTTGGGTTTCCGAGGCAGTATCACTACGGAAGTAGATTGCCCAACCTTCCTTCTGAGGAGTGGTTGGTGGGTTTGAACCGCCAGCCTTCTGGTTAGCAGGCAAGCGCTTTAGCCACTATGCTACCAGAGCTCCTTATATATATATGTCATCTCTGACATCACCTCCTCCTCCTTCCCTCAATATTCCCCCTCCTGTCTCAGGGTTCCGTATTTCTCTGCACCATCTCATGGAACTCACAGATTCCCAAGGAAACAGCTCATGTGGTGGTGGTGGAGGCTGGCAGGCTGGCAAGTCCCAGGTCTGTGGGTTGGTCTGGAGGATTCTCCTAACTCACATTGTTGCAGAGGTTGGCAAACCCAAATCAATGGGTCAGATGAAGGCTGCTGTCTCAAGTCCAGGGGTGAGATGATGAACCAAATGCAGAACCAGATCAAGAGAGCGAACTTTCCCAGAACATTCTATATATACCCTCAAGGAAGCTAAGGGTGGTAACTTGAGTCACACCCTAGCGAAGTGGGACTCAGGATACATTCCACCCTAAACAGTCATCTACTCACTATGATCCAACTCATAGCGACCCCTCCTTGGGTTTCTGAGGCAGTATCACTATGGAAATAAATTGCCCAGTCTTCCTTCTGAGAAGTGGCTGGTGGGTTTGAACCATCAGCCTTCTGGTTAGCAGTCAAATGCCTTAGGCACTATGCCACTAGAGCTCCTAAAAAGCCATAGAGAATAGGATTTACAATACATCACAAAATGGAGGACGATGGCTAGAAGGGCCATGTTAAGCAGTTACTGTACTGCACTATATAAAGAAATGCTGTGTCTCTGTGTGTACACAGCTGGAATCATACTATGTACATCTTGCACTGTGCTTTTTTTCACTTAGTGTATGTTGGAGATCTTTTCAAATCAGCACAAACAGATCTCATTATTTTTTTCATGGTTGCATGGTATTCCATTAAATGCATTTTCTATAATTTATTTAACCGGTTCCTTATTGAAGGGCATTTATGTCGTTGTTAGTCTTGGGCTATTTCCAAACAATGCTGCAAGGAATATTCTTCAATGTAGGTAGATACATACTTATAAACTTGCTCAAGAATATCTGTAGGGTAAATTTCTAGAGTACCGTCCCTAGATGGCGCAAATGGTTTGCACTTGACTAAAAAAAAAAAAAACCCCCCCCCCCCCAAACTCAATGCAACCAGTAGGATTCCTGCTCATACCGACCCCCCATGGGTTTCCAAAGAAACAGATCGGAAACAGATCGCCTCATCTTTCTTCCGCAAAGTGGCTGGTAGGTTCAAACCACCGACCTTAATAGTTAGCAACCAAATGCCTTAACCACTACACCACCAGAGCTCTTCACTCTGCAAAAAGTTGGCAGTTCAAAACCGTCCAGTGGTGCCAAGAAAGGCGTGGCTTTCCTAAAGATTATCACCAAGAACACCCTATGGACTTTTATTCTGTAACACATGGGAGTTGGAGGCCAAAGAGTAGACACATTTAAACATTTTGATAGCTTTTGCCAAGTTGCTCTTTTATGAAGTTGCCCCACTTCCCACTCCAACCAATAGCTGGAGTGCTCCATTCTCCGACACCTTTCACATCTTTGCTAAGATTAAAGACTGTACCTGGTTCTAATTATGAAATTGCACGTTATTTATTTTTATTAGTGACTTATTTCTTTTAATGTGTTCTGTCCATGTCTTTTGCTCATTTTGCTGTTAAGCCATTAGGCAGAATGGTGGGTGATCCTCCCCCACCCACCCACACAATTGCACACAAATGCCTTCAGCACCAGGGGCTTAACTGCAATGTTAACAGCATTGACAAATTCAGGTCGCAATTGGTTTTTTTTTTCCCCCCGCCTTGTCCTTTTCAAAACCTTAAAAGAGTTCCTACTCAATCCACAACGGTTGCAATTCGCGTTTTCAATAAGTTTGTCCAAGCCACACCCTATTCTTATCCACATGCTTCTGCGCACAGACGGGCCCATAGCGAGGTTTGTCCCACGTCGCTCTCCGTCCGCGCCCAGGGTTTTCTGTGCGTGCGGATCCCGGCGTCCTGGGAGACAACAGCGATGGCTTTCCGGTGTCAGAAAGATAGTTACGCCCGGGAGGTGCGGCTGGAGGGTCGAAGGATGCTGCTGAGCACATGGGGCGGTGCAGGGAAGAGGGCGCCTCTTGGAGACAGTGCTTGGATAGGGATTCAGTACAGAGGCTTGGGATTGGAGCTTATTCTCTGTCCTCTCTTTTCCCAGTTCACCACCACCGTGGTCTCCTGCAGCCCTGCAGAGTTGCAGATCGAAGGACATAACGGCAAGAAGGAAGTGGTGAGCGGTTTTCAAGTGGTGCTGGAAGACACGCTGCTTTTCCCCGAGGGCGGGGGACAGGTACCGGGCCCATCCTGTCCCTTACTCAGCCGGTCCTCCTTCCAGGGAGCCCCTGATTCTTTTGAGCTCATGTGTAATATGCTCTCCCGCCTCTTGGTTATCCACCATAATGATCACAGTAAGAAATTAGTTCAATTTAGTACATTTGTTAGTTCAACCAATATTTGTCAGTATTTATCTAGACATAACATATGTCTATTCCAAGTGCTAAGGATTAGTGCCTCTACATATGGGGAATGTTAATTGGAGAAAAAGACAAAACTGTGAAAATATAAATAACAGGCCAAGTAGGGGTAAGTGCTATACATGAAAAGAAAACTGAGCAAAGAGAAATAGTGCTGATACACTTTTCTGGATACCAGAAACCAAACCAAACTCTGCTCTCCAGTCGATTCCACTCAGCCCCACCCTCATTGGGTTTCCAAGGCTTAAATCTTTGTGGAAGCAGACTGCTTCATCTTCCGTGCAGCAGCTGGTGGGGTTGAACCACTGACCTTTTGGTTAACAGTTAAATGCCTTAACCACTACACCGTAAGAGCTCCTTTTTTCTAGATAGAAGGTAGGTTACTTCAGTTGAGACCTAAATGAAATGAGAGGGTGAGTCATTGTAATTATCTGGTGTGTGACAAGGAGAGAGTATTCCAGGCAATGAGAATAGCAAGTGCAAGGCCCTGAGCTAGGAATGAGCTGCAGGTGTTTGACAGGGACTGAAAAAGATTCCCCTGAGAGAGAGAGAGAGAGAGAGAGAGAGAGAGAAAGCGAGAGAGAGAGAAAGCTTACAGTAGCAGAACATTAGGTCAACTTAGCACTGTTGTGTTGGGCTAGAGGTTAGGTAAAATGTGAGCAGGGAAGAGGAAAATAACTCCAAAGGTGAATGTTATGGGAAAGTGGCATTTGAATTGTATCTGAAAGGATAGGTGGGATGTCAACCATCAGACATTATTAACAAGGAGGCTCTCCTAGCAGAGATATTAACCCCTGCCTTTGTTGGAATCTGACAAGTATAGTTGACTGCAAGTAATTTGATACAGGTGAAGGCTATGGTGTGTTTTGAGGACAGGCTGGAGATGACCGTGGAAGGGTAAGTGGGGGCCAGTTCAGAGGGCCTTGAAGGGTGTGGCCTTCATCATGGAAGCACTGGTGAGCCATGCAGGTTCTTAGAAAGAAGTAGTCTGAGAGAATATTTTCTATAGACTTGCTGTTGAGATGGTTTCAATTTCATATTAAGGTCTTTGTTATTGCAGTAATGTTTTCAACATGAACGTTTTCTCATCTGGTGAAGGAAAATCTGTGACTTCAGGTGTCCATAGAAAGTCTCATTTTAGACATCATTTCTTTGAGGAAGGTCTTGTGAGTCCCCAAAACTGTTGGGTCTCTTTCCCTTGAGTTCCTCTCTGGTGTTGCAGTGGCTAAACCTAACCAGAAGGTCAGCGGTTCAAACCCACTAGCCACTCCATGGGAGGAAGATGAAGCAGTCTGCTTCTATAAAGATTTACAGCTTTGGAAACCCTATGGGGCAGTTCTGTGCTGTCCTATTAGAGTTGCTGTGAGTTAGAATTGGCTCGATGGCAGTGGGTTTGGTTTTTGGTTTAGCACCATGTACTTGCTCATGCAATGGCATTTTTTAGATCATATTGCAGTTGCTTGCATGCTTATCTGTATCTTTTCCAGAGTCTAAGTTCTCTGAGGGAAAGGACTGTGTCTTGTTTACATGGTTTCCTGGGGTAGCACCCTGTCTTATAAACAGCTGGCACTTGATAACATTTTTGAATGAGTGAATTAAAAAAAAAAAAATTGTAAGACATATATAACAAACATTGCTATTAATTTTTGAGTGTATAATCAATAACAATTACATTCACAATGTTATGCAAACCACTATCTATTTTCAAAGTTTTTCATCACACCAAACAGAACTCAGGACCCATAAAGCAGTAACTGCCATGTCTCCCCTCTCCGTAAGCTGCTGGTTACCATTAATCTACTTTTGTTTCTATGCATTTGTGTATTCCAGGTATTTTATGTAAGTGGAATCATAAAATATTTGTCATTTTGATTGTTTTACTTAGCATAACGTCTTCAAGGTTCAACCATGTTGTAGCATAGATTAGACTGCCATTTCTCTTTATAGCTGAATAATATTCCATTGTACGTATGTCCTATGTTATGTTTATCTGTTCGTCTGTTGATGGAATGGCTGTTTGGGTTGTTTCCACCTTTTGACGATTGTGAGTAGTGCTGCAGTGAACATTGGTGTACAAGGATCTGAGTCCCTGCTTTCAGTTGTTTTGGGTGTATACCTAGGAGTGGAATTGCTGGGTCATATGGTAATTCTGGTTTAACTTGTTGAGGAAATGAACGAATATTTTTGAGTCTAATTCTAGGAGCAGTGCAGAGGATGGCGTAGAGGGAGGAAGGAAAATTCGGATCATCTTTGAGACTATTGAAGGATGATAAACATCTAAACTAAGGCAATGAAAGGACAGAAGTCCTTTGAGCTTTACTGAAATCTTCTTCACTGTACCTGTAGTCTGTTTCCTCTTCCTCTGTTGTGATTTTGTTCTAGTTAACAAAATATCTATGTTCAGAGTGAAGTGTGCAGAGAGACGATTCCCTCATGGAACAAAATAGACCTACCTCACTTGGCATTGTCTTTCTTCCTTTGGGAAGTTCAAAATTTGGGTCTACCCCTCACATTCTTTCCCTGGAGAGTCTTTGTTAGGGTCAGTCCTGCCTCCCACCATTGATTGTCTGCATTTCTTTTCCCCAGCCTGACGACCGAGGTACAATCAATGACATCACTGTGCTCAGAGTCACCCGCCGAGGGTCCCAGGCTGATCATTTCACACAGACCCCCTTGGTGCCTGGGAGCCAGGTCCAGGTCCAGGTGGACTGGGAGCGGAGGTTTGACCACATGCAGCAGCATTCAGGTCCGTGGGGTTGGGTGGGATGGGGACATACATACAGGAGAGATAGTCACCATGGTGATTGAGAAGTGTGTTCGGTTCTCTAGAAGTTAGCCTTTTGGAAAAGACAAACATGGACCTTATCCAGACAGGATATAATACATGCTATAAAATCAGTATCGAAAAAGTACCGAAACTCACTGCCATCGAGTTGATTCCAACTCATAGTGACCCCCTTTGGGTTTCTGAGGCAGTAAACCTTCACGGAAGTAGATCGCCCAGTCTTCCTTCTGCAGAGTGACTGATAGGTTTGAATTGCCAGCCTTCTGGTTAGTAGTCAAATGCCTTAGGCACTATGCCACCAGAGCTCCTTTAAAAAAAAAAAAGTCAGTATAAGAAGTAATAATATCAGAAAACTGCTGGATTTTATCGACTTTCCATGGGATCTCTTCATCTGGATGTCTTGCAGACTTCTCAAAAAGTCCAAAATGGAATAAAACTCTCCCCCAGCCTCCCTTCACCTCATACCTGGTCCTCGGTCAGCATTCTCTATCTCAGTACAGGGCATCATGATCCACTCAACTGCGTAAACTCAAATTCTGCAAGTCACTCCAGATACCTGCCTCTCTTTGGGGATAGCTACTGAGTCCTGTTGGTTTATCTTTTAAGTTTCTTTCCCTGCCCTCACTGTCGCCATCATCAGCCTAGTCCCAGCTTTCATCGCCTTTCCCCTGGACTTAGGTAATAGCTTTCCACTTGGTGTCCCCACATTCAGGCTCGCTCTTCTGCAGCCCATTCTCCACAAAGCAGCCAGAATAATCTTTTAAAACTGAAAAGCTGATCATGTCATGCCCCTGCTTAAAGCCCTTCAAGCCTTCAAGGTGGCTCTTTGTACAAAAATCAAACTCCTTATCATAGCCTACAAGCCCGACATGCCCTACAAACCCGTTATGGGCTCAAACCAAAAACCAAACTCACTGCCGTCAAGTCGGAACCGACTCATAGTGACCCCTCCTTGGGTTTCTGAGGCAGTATCTCTATGGAAGTAGATTGCCCAGCCTTCCTTCTGAGGAGTGGCTGGGGTTTGAACTGCCAGCCTTCTGGTTAGCAGTCAGATAACTTAGGCACTGCACCACCAGAGCTCCTCTGTTTGAGCTAGCCTCTGTCCACTGCTCCAGCTTCATCTGCTGCCTGTCTCCCTGTCTTGCTCTCTGCGTTCTGTCCGTACCATCCTCCTCTCGATTTCCCAGATACACCCTGCTGCTTTCCCCCGCAAGGCCTTTGGCTATCTCATGCCCATTGTCTTTGTAGAAATAAGGAGCTCTGGTGGTGCAGTGTCTAAAGCATTTGACTGCTAACCAGAAGGTTGCCAGTTCAAACCAACCAGCCGGTCTGCAGAAGGAAGATGGGGCATTCTACTTCTGTAAATGTTTACCACCTTGGAAACCCAATGGGGGTCACTATAAGTCAGACTCAACTTGATGTCGGTGAGTTTGGTTTTTTGTAGAAATAATTCCTCCTCCTCCTCATTGTCGTCATCAGTTACGGTTGCTGCTGTATCTCCAGTGCTAAGCCCTGTGCCTCGCATGTGGTAGCCATTCAGTTAATTTGTTGAATGAACGAATATAGCACATTGGAACTTGAGTTTGAATCCTAATTCTGCCTCTGATAGGCTACATTGCCTTGCCAAGTTATTTGATCACTCTGGGTCTCAGTTTCCTCGTATGGCATCATCATGCTTCTTTCAGGGATTCTTCTGAAGGTTCTCCGTAAAGTTTCTGAGGTGTTTGGTGCCTGGCAGACCTGTCTTCAACAAGTGAGACTTTGTGACTGTGTCACTGTGGGAGTATGTGGCTATCTGGGCTTCTCACTCATCTCTTGCCTCTTGCTCTCTTTGCTCAGGGCAGCATCTCATCACAGCAGTTGCTGACCATCTGTTTGGGTGGAAGACAACATCATGGTGAGCAGGAGACATAAGATGAACTTCAGAGTCTGGGTTCCTGACTACCTGCTCCTTTTTCAATCAAGGGTCAGAAAGAAGGGGGGGATATGAGAAGAGGGAGTGTTCATAATTTTCCCTGAGTTTCCCTTTCCCCTTGAAAGGGGACATCTGTAGCAGCCAGGGTTCCCCAGAGAAACAGGATCAATAGACCATATATGTGTGAAAGAGATTTATTTTACGAAATTGGTTCATGCACTTGTGGGCGCTGGCAAGTCTGAAATCTGTAGGGCAGAGTGGCAGTCTGGAAACTCAGGTGGGATTTCTGTATTACAGTCTTGAGGCAGAATCCCTTCTTTTCTGAGAAACCACATCCTTGAGGGCAATCATTCCTTAAAGCTAACTGATTATAAATCTGAACGATATTCACAAGATGTCTCATAGCAACATGCAGACTAGCAAACGTTTGACCAAACAGCTGGGCACTATAGTCTAGCCAAGTTGGCACATTAAAATAAACAGTTACAGTAAGGGTGTAATGACCTTGTGTTTATTAGGGGAAAACACAACATTGAGAGGCGAAACAGCTGCCTTGGCATGGGAAAGAACATGGAATTTGGAGCCTAAAGAACTAGGGGGTGAATCCTGGCTCACCACTCACTGGCTGCGTGACTTTGATCATGTTCCTTAATAGCTCTCTGACTGTTTCCTCACCTGTAAAATGGAAATGATAGCCCCTGCCTTGAGGGATTTCTGTGAGGATTAAATAAGATCCTTTACATGAGTGCTTTTTATAAACCGCGGACCTTCCACACATTGCCATCATCACCAGTGTCTCCTGGCCACTCCTCTTCCCCTGGCAGGGAGTTAGGACGACTGCGGAGTGTGATTGAGTTGGACAGCCCCTCCGTGACTGCAGACCAAGTAGCTGCCATTGAGCAGAGCGTCAATGAAAAAATCAGAGATCGGTTGCCCGTGAATGTGCGAGAACTGAGCCTAGATGATCCTGAAGTGGAGCAGGTGAGGGGAGAGCCAGTGGGGTAGCAGCTCCCGGATGGTCCTCTGAGGGCTCCTCCTCAAAATTCAGACAGCTCCCTGTCTCCGCCTCTATTCCAGGTACGGGGCCGGAGTCTGCCAGATGATCATGCTGGACCCATTAGAGTGGTTACTATCAAGGGCGTTGATTCCAACATGTGCTGTGGGACCCACGTGAGCAATCTCAGTGACCTTCAGGTAGGTGAGGAAGGGCTGCTGAGTGGCTGAGAGAGAGGGTATCAGAAGTAGGGGATACAGCAGGGCTGGGAGGGTGTGTGGAGGGCAAATGAGGTATCCTAAGGGAAATCGCTCCTTCATTGCTTCAGGGCTGGGGAGAAGGTCTAGATCGCTCTGCCCTCGGGTTCCAGAATTCACTGCAGTTTGTGCCTATATGTATGTGTGTTACTTCCTTGCTTCATGTAGGTGATTAAGATTCTGGGTGTTGAGAAGGGGAAAAAAAACAAAACCAACCTGATATTTCTGGCTGGGAACCGAGTGCTGAAGTGGATGGAGAGAAGTCATGGGACTGAGAAAGCCCTGACCACTCTGCTTAAGTATGTCCCCTTCTTGGTGATCTTCTGCCTGTTTCTCAGCTCTTGGACACCCTGGAGCTCGAGGGTTTCAGCTTTCCTACCTGGAAGGTGAACAGAGTAATCTCTTACCTCTGAGGGGTAAGGTGTCTCAATAAATGACAGAGTGCTGTGGATAGCTAGTGCAAAAACAGCAATGAGGCCGCATATTCTGACCTCCTCTAATCCCACAAGAGGAAGGCAGAATCACCATCAATAGCCCAAGGCCTATTCCTGCCAGGCCAGACATGCTGCCTCCCTCCAGCCCTTTCACCAACCGTTTCTCCCACAGCACCCACCACCTCTCTCCTGGGTTCGATAATTCACTGCAGTGGCCACACAGAACTCACAGATTATGGAGTTTATTATTAGCCTGTCACCACAGGCTACAATTCAAGTTCAGGAAAAATGCTCAGTCTCTCTCCCAGCCCACTGTCCCTCAGCCAACAGTCTCTCTCAGTCTCTTTCCCAGCAGTGCTGGTCCCTCAGTGTCTCACTCAGCAATGCGTGTCTCTTGCGTCTCTTTCCCAGCAGCACGTGTCTCTTTCCAGGGTGGTGTCTCTTTCGGCAGCACGTCTTCCTCAACCAGCAGTCAGAGAGAGAGTTCTGCCTCTAGGAGGCCTCCTTTTGAGCCCGGCAGGCTGGTCAAACTAGCCAATCATAGCATCAGAACTCTAAGCACTTGAGAGAGAGTGGGCACCTCCCAGAACATTGTTTTGTGCCACGCCCAACAGAAATACTCCAGGTGGACAACTTCAGCAATCAGGAGCTCCTCAGTTGCTCATAGAAAATCCCACCTTGGAGTTTACAAAGACTTATGGGTAGAAAAGCCACACTAAGTAATTTACTACACCACAGCAAGTGAGACCCAAACAAAAGGGTTATTCTGTTATAGCCATCCCCCAGGTGCCTAAAGGGCCTTGTCATGTCTCCAGGTCCCCATCTGGACTCTTTCAAGAAGGGAATTGTTGATTTGCCCCCAACAGCAAAAGCAGCTGGGAAGCTGGGCCCGTCTTCACTGACCCTTCTCTTGCAGGTGTGGAGCAGAAGATCATGTGGAAGCTGTGAAGAAGCTACAAAATGTGGCCAAGCTCCTGCAGAAGGTGATTTATCCTGGGGAGGGTGCGGTAGGGCAGGGGGTCTGCTGGAATAGGCTCCCCAGACTCGGCCCCTCAGCCTAAACAGATGTATAGTTTGTCATGGGAGAAAGAGGAGAGAATGAAGTGGAGGGAAGATAGTGTTCTTTCTCATTACCCTGTCCACCTGTCTGCTGAGTTATCACACCCATTTCAGAACAACCTGAATCTGCTCAGAGACTTGGCTGTGCACACTGCCCATAGCCTCAGGAACAGCCCAGACTGGGGAGGTGTGGTCGTATTACACAGGTGAGCAACTAGGTGTGGAGAAGAGGCAAGGGGGTTGTGTTGGGCCTGTGTGCAGTGGGTGGTAGAAGGGAGATTGCTCTCTGGTATTCTGAAGATAATGCCAACCCTAAGAAATGCATTATATACCAAGTGCTATGCATGTTTATGGGCTGCTGAGGCCTAGAGGGGCATTGTCTTACTCTTTCTTTTTGCTAAGAGGGCCCGGGGCTTGTGTGTATGCACAGACAGTGCCGGATTAGCCTCATGAGGAGCAGCGGGGCTTCCTGCCGTCTCACAGCTCCCACGTCAACCTGGATCTCGTGTCTGTCCTTTATTGTAGGAAGGAGGGCGATTCTGAGTTCATGAATATCATTGCCAATGAGATTGGGTCACAGGTAAGAGGGACGTGAAATTCTCTACCCACCTTGATTAGCGACCTAGGGAGGTATAAGGTATAAGTTAGCGGCGGTCCCTCCACATGAACACGTGACGAGGAAGGAGTAGAAATTCACTGAGTACTCTTAGCACTGGTCAAGCTTTATTTTAGGTGTTGCTCTAGATCTATTGTGTTGACCTTCCTGGGCCTGTGCCGTGAGCTTCCAAGCTCCTCCCAGAGTGGAACTCCTCAGAGCTACCCAGGTGTATGTGTGCCACTGGGTTCAGCAAGGCCTTTTGAAAGCCATCTCATCCATTTTCCTCTGCCTCTGGCTTCAGCTGCCCTTCGCCATCCTCACAGTCCAGAGTTTAGAGGTTTCCAAGTCGCTCGTAGGTGTTTCCTCCAGAAACTCCTGCCCCTCCTCTGGGTCAGGCGTTAGGCACACCTCTCTTCATACTTCTTCCTGTGGAGAGCATTGGTTCTCAGGAAGCGCACTTGCTAGGCTGGGTGTTGACAGTGCTAATTCCAGGTGATAAATGCTGTAGTGCGCATTCATCACAGGAGCTGCAGGGGAGCTGTAGGCAGAGGAGTACGATACCTGAAAACGTAGGGAGGCTTCAGGGACCCATTGAGTCAGCTCTGTCTTGAAGAGTGCTTAGAGTCATTAGACAAACAAGGAAGCAAAGTTGGGCAAGCAGAAGCTTAGGCATGGGGAGACACCATGGTTTTAGGGGAATGACCCAAACAAGAGCTTGGCAGCGCATGGTGGGTGCAGAGAGGGGGGCCAAGCTGGAAAGGTTGGCGGGAGTCATCACAAAAGACATTTTATGCTTGCCTGTGGTCAGCAGTATTCCGCCTCCTTCTTAACGTTTAACCTAAGTTTCCATACAACGGCTGCCATTGGATCAATTCTGATTCCTCTTGACTCTGTAGGGCAGAGTAGAGCTGCCCCATAGTGTTTCCAAGATGTAATTTTTACGGAAGCAGACTGCCACATCTCTCTCGTGGAACAGCTGGTCGGTTCAAGCCTCCAACACTTCAGTTAGTCTCTCAGTGCTTGACACATTGCACCAGCAGAGCCCCTAAGTTCCCCTAAAAACAAAACAAAACAAAAAAAACCCCACTGCCATCAAGTCGATTTTAATTCATAGCGACCCCCATTGGGTTTCCGAGGCTATAAATCTTTATGGAAGTAGATTGTCTCATCTACCCACAGAGCGGCTTGTAAGTTTGAACCACTGACCTTAGGCACTGTGCCACCAGAGCTCCTTAAGTTCTAGTTGCTTTTAAAGTTTCTTGGCCCTGTTGGGTCAGAGCTCAGGGGTGCATCACTCATCAGGAATGTTGCTCTAAGGCTTGGGGAAAATTGTTGAGACTGAGGGGAGTGCGGGAGCTGGAGAGTGAACCCCATGTACTTAACTATCAGGGCTTATCTCCCTGTCTTACCTCCTAGAAAACCCTCCTATTCTTAACTGTGGGTGATGAGAAAGGTGCTGGGCTCTTCTTGCTGGCAGGACCAGCCGAGGCCGTGGAGAACCTGGGGCCCAGGTAATCTTGCGTGGACTGTTTTTGTTTTTCAATTGTGATTGGGGTTAAAGTTTACAGAGCAAATGCATTTTCTATACAACAGTTCACACACGTTTTCATGACATTGATTGCAATCCTCATAATGTAACAGCTCTCTTCCTACTTCCTCCCCATGGAGACTTTTTCCCTTTGTCCTTTCCTGTGCATTCCTGCCCTCTGAGCTACCTCCCTGTGCAAATGCTGCCCTTCTGATCTTCCATGGTTGACTGTTCTAGGGAGTGTACCTACCTGATATAATTAAGTGTTCACCTTATATGCCTGTCTGTTGTTTGGCTGAAGCCATGGGAGTGAGTTCAAATCCAGGCTCGAGGGGTGACTAGGGGCCATAGTTTCAAGGGTTTCAACAGGTCTCTATCACACCAGTAAGTCAGGTTTTTTTATGATTTTGAGTTTTGTTCCACATTTCTCTCCCACTCTAGCCAGGATCTCCGACACTGATCCCTTTCTGAGTGGTTGACAGTAGTAGCTAGGCACCATTTAGTTCTGGTCTCAGGGTCATACAGGCTGAGGTTCCGTGGTCCACTAGGCCCTTGGACTAATTGTTTCCATGTGTCTTGAGTTTTCTTCATTCTTTGCCCTGGATGAGGAAAAACCAATTGTTGCATCTTAGAGGGCCAATGTAAGCTTTTAAGACCCAAGTCACCACTCACCAAAGGAGGATGTAGAACAATGTGTTTGTGAAGTATGTTAACGCAGCCAAGTTAGATGTCCCCCACAACCATGGCCCCAGGCCTATGGGCCCAGTGGCTCATTTCCTTAGGATGTTTGTGTGTGGCCTAAGAAGTTATCATAACTTTGTCCATTAGCTCTGTTATCTGTACAGACATTGTTATAGTACATACAATATGTAATCTTACATGGACTCTAGTGCATACAATTATGTAATCTTACATGGACTCTTGCATTGGTGGAGCTGCCTGTAAAGCCTACCTCCTGATACAGCCTTTTACTGTGATCAGTAAAGGGCCATCACACCTATGATCTCATTTGATTCAATTCGTGGGTGTGTGACGTCACCTGAGCAGGGATCGTGATCCCCATCATCATCCCCAGTTTCACAGATCTCACAGTTAAAGTGGGAGAGCTGAGACTTGAACACAGGTCTCTTGGCTCTATGTGCTGTCATTCATTCATTCTTTTTTTTAAGAAATTTTATTGTATAAATTCATGAGTACTGGTGCTAGATTGTCAGGAAGCAGATGAAGCAGATGTGTAAGGCACCACCAAAGCAGAAGTGCAGATAAAGTGTTTGGTGGAAAAATTTAAATTTTGACACTAAAGCAAAAATGGCATTAATGTAGTTATGGAAAAATTAGAATCTTGAACTTCCTCATTCTTCCCATACTGTTTTTAATACTTCCTTGTTTTAAATTGGGAGCTCTGGTAGCGTAGTGCCTAAGGCATGTGACTGCTAACCAGAAGGCTGGTAGTTCAAACCCACCAGCCACTCCTCAGAAGGAAGATTGGGCGATCTACTTCTGTAGTGATACCGCCTCAGAAACCCAAGGAGGGGTCACTGTGAGTAGGATCCGACTCGATGGCAGTGAGTTTTTTTTTGTTTGTTTGTTTTATTTTAAATTAGATACAGGGATATGATGCCCCATAATCTTCCTGGTGTCTAGGGGCTCCTGACTGGCTTTGATGAATTCATGTTCACTGTAAATCATTGTAACAGAATATAAATATTAAAAGCAGAAGTTCCCCACAGGCAGCCACATGGGGCCTGTAGACTCATTTGGTTTATGCACTTTTTAAAATTTTTATTGTGATTTGGGTGAAAGTTTACAGAGCAAATTCATTTTCCACACAGCAGCTCACATATACTTTGTCTTATGACATTGACTGCAATTTCCCACAATGCAATAGCTCTCTTCCTACTTCCTCCCCATAGATACCTCTTCCCTGTTTCCTTCCATCCCATGTACTCCTGTCCCCTGAGCTGTCTCCCTGTGCGTACACAGCCCTTCTATCTCCCATGATTGATCTCTCCAAGGAGTGTATCTACCTAATGTAAATGTTCATCTCATATGTCTGTCATTTATTTGGCTGGAAGCCGTGGGAGTGGGTTCAGTTCCAGACCTGAAGGGTAGCTAGGGGCCTAGTCTCGGGTTTCACCAGGCTCTATCATACCAGCAAACCTGGTCCTTTTTTTTTTTTTTTATGATTTTGAGTTTTGTTCCACATTGTTCTCCCACTCTATCCAGGATCTCCTGCACTGATCGCCCTCTGAATGGTTGACAGAGGTAGCTGGGCATCATCTAGTTCTTCCAATCTCATGGTCATAGAGGCTGAGGATCACATGGTGTACCAATCCCTTGGACTAATTGTTCCCATGTGTCTTTGGTTTTCTTCATTATTTGCTCTGGGCAAGGAGAGACCCTCCTCTCCCTCCCCCTGGACCTGGTGAAAGATTCAGGGCTGTCATTAGGTTTTCTGTGGCTTTTCCTTCAGGCACTTCTATGACTGTATCTTTGCTCCTCAGGGTGGCTGAGGTTCTGGAAGGCAAAGGAGCGGGGAAGAAGGGCCGCTTTCAGGGCAAGGCCACCAAGATGAGCCAGCGGGCAGAGGTACAGGCACTTCTCCAGGACTATGTCAGCACACACAGTGCTGAGGAGTGAGGACTCCAGATGCCCTCCCAGGTGCTGCTGCCATTGAGAACAGGCTTCCTGTGAACACAGAAAGAGTCTATTGGACAATAAAATAGTTTGACTCACATGGTTGTGGTCTGTGCATTTGTCTGACTAATTTGCACAGTATACTCTGGTGTACTTATGCAAGTAGTATCTCCTTTTGAATAAACCGTCTTCTTATCTGGCCTTTTTAGGTATAACCTCCATGAGTAAGCATGATATTGATGAAATGTCCTGATTTATCTAAGTCAGTACCTAAGCTACCCTTATGTTAGATTATGGCAGCTCATGTGTTTTGGAGTAGAACTGTACTCCATGGGGTTTTCAGTGGCTGAGTTTTCAGTAGATTGAGGGCTTCTTATGAGGCACATCTGAATAGACTCCTCCAACCTTTCAGTTTGCACTGGAGCATATAACTGTTTGAGCTATCCACATTGTCATAAATGTACTGATGTATCTAAACGCAACTAAAACCTTTCTTAATGCCGCAGTGCAGTTGCCTAAGACTAGTGGAAGTCAGTTTGGAGGCCTTACCAAGGGCTTCCAAACTCATCCCACTGCCAGTGAGTTGATTCCAACTCATAGCAACCCTGTAGGACAGAGTAGACCTGTCCCATAGGTTTTCCAGAAATCTTTACAGAAACGGACTGCCTCATCTTTCTCCCACGGAGCAGCTGGTGGGTTCGAACTGCTCATCTTTTGGTTAGGAGCCGAATGCCTCAATCACTGCACCACCCGAGCTCCTGACCAAGGGCTTAGACTCATTCAAATCTTGTTTTCTTTTCCCAGTCTAAATCGACTTGATGGCAGTGAGTGGTTTGCTTGTTTGATTTTCCCACTCTAGTGCTTCAGAACTAAAAAGTATCTTGACTTTGCAAATAAGTCAGGAAGCCAGAAAAATAGTGGAAGGATGTTCCAAGTCTATTTTGAGGCAGTAAAGAGATGGAAGATGGGACAATCTACTTCCATAGTGATACTGCCTCAGAAACCCAAGGAGGGGTTGCTATGAGTCGGGTCCGACTCCATGGCACATAACAACAACAACAACAACAAAGAGACGGAAGAAGATATATCATTCAGGATTAACCCAAAGAAAGCTGGTGTAGCAATGTTAATATCAGACAAATTAGACTTTAAGGCAGAAGACATACATTTATTTATTTATTTATTCATTCATTCATTCGTTCATTCATGCATTCATTCATTCATGCATTCATGTTCCCTCCCCTCGCACCACTGGTAACCAACAAAGTAAGTTTCCTTCCATATAGAAACTTTTCCTTGACTTTTTACAAAAATAAACTAATACAGTATTTGTCCTTCTGTGATTGACTTACTTCACTCAGCATAACATCCTCCAAGTTCATTCACGTTCTGTGGTGTTTTGTAGGTTCTACATTATTCTTTAGTGTTGCATAGTATTCCATTATGTGTACGTACCTAGTTTGGTTATCCATTCTTTTGTTGATAGGCACCTAGGTAGTTTCCATCTTTTTGCTATTGTAAATAGTGCTGTGATGAACATGGGTGTGCATACATCTGTTCTTGTCCTGGCTCTCACTTCTTTAGGATATGTACCTAGAAATGGAATTGCTGGATCAAATGGTATTTCTAATTACAACATTTTAAGGAATTGCCATACTGCTTTCCACAGTGGTTGTATCATTTGACAATCCCACCATTAGTGTAGTAGGGTCCCAATCTCTCCATATCCTCATCAGTATTTGTTATTTTCTGTCTTGTTGAACTTTACTGTTTGTGCTGGGGCAAGATGGTATCTCATCATTGTTTTGATTTGCATTTCTCTAATGGCTAATGATCGTGATCATTTCATCATATATTTGTTGGCCACCTGAATATCATTTTCAGTGAAGTGTCTATTCATGTTTTCTGCCCATTTTTTAATTGGATTGTTTGTCTTTTTGTTGTTGAGCTGTAGGAATTTTCTATAAATTTTAGAGATAAGTCCCTTGTCAGATAGGTTGTTGCAGAATATTTTTTCCCAATCTGTAGGTTCTCTCTTGACTCTTTTGGAGAAGTCTTTTGAAGCACATAAAAATTTAAGTGTTAGAAGGTCCCATTCATCTAGTTTATCTTCAGGTGTTTGTGCATTTTGGGTTATGCTTGACAGTCTATTTATGCCATAAATTAGGGCCCCTAAACAAAGCAGAAAGCGTGTTTTAAAGACCAAGAGGGGCAAGTAATAAGAAGTATACAGGAAAATAATTTTACATTTATGTGCATTTGATGACAGCCTCAAAATAAAGTAGACACAGATCTAAAAGGAGAAATAAGGAGCCCTTGTGGTGCACCAGTTAAGTGGTTGTCTGCTAACCTAAAGGTTGGTAGTTTGAATCCACCCAGTATTCTGCAGGAGAAAGAGCTGGCAGTCTATCTTGTAAAGAATACAGCCAACACAATCCTATGGGGCAGTTCTCTGTCACATAGGTGCTATGGGTCGGGATCAACTTGACAGCACCTGACAACGAAAGGAGAAAAAGAGAAACCTACAACCAATGAAGATTCAAACTTGTCTTTCAGAAACTGATAGAACAAGAACCAAAAAATAAACCAAACTCGCTGCCCTTGAGTCGATTCTAACTCAGTGACCCACTTCGGGTTTCCCAGGTGGTTAATCTTTACAGACGTAGATTGCCCAATCTTCCTTCCCTGGAGTGGCTGGTGGGTTTGAACCACCAACCTTCTGTTTAGCAGTCAAATGGCTTGGGCACTACACCACCAGAACTCCTTGACAGAATAAGATGAGGGGTAATATGGTAATATGAGTATGGGCTTTGGAGTTTCACAGACCTCAGTAGAAATCCTGGCTTTGTGCATCTGTAGGTGGTGAAACTAGAAAGAAAAGCAAGTGATTACTTTAAAAAGTTAGGAAAGCATTTAGCTCTGGGGGGAGGGAAGGAAGTGGGGTGGAGAAGAGACCCACGGTGGGTGGGGAAGGTGGTTTCTGGGTGCTGGCAGTTTTCTGCTTCTTGACTTAGGTGGCAGTTATATAGGTTTGCTTTGTAATCATTGTACTATATGTCTATGCATTATTTTCATGTAGTTATATTTCACAATTTAAGAATTACTATAAGAAATTCTGGTTCTGTCCCTTATTCGCCATGGGACGCTATCTTACGTTTCTGACTCTCAGTCTCCTTCTCTGTAACATGACAGTGGTAACAGCATCCAGTCCACTAGGCTGGAAGGTAACATGCTCAACTGTAAGTGCTTAAGAAAACCTCTGTGGAATATCAAGAACAAGCCTTTTTTTCTTTTTTTTTTTTTTTGAGGTTCCTTGTCATTAATAAAAGGAGTTCTGGTGGCATAGTGCTTAAGGCATTTGGCCGCTAACCAGAAGGCTAGTGGTTCAAACCCACCACCCACTCCACGGAAGGAAGACTGGGCACTCTACTTCCATAAACATATACCACCTGGCAAACCCAAAGGGGGTTACTGTGAGTTGGAATCGACTCAGTGGCAGTGAGTTTGGTTTTTTTGAGTTTATGTCATTAATATTTAAGTTGTAGATATATAGGTAATAAAAGGGAGCTCTGGTAGTGTAGTGCCTAAGGCACTTGACTGCTAACCAGAAGGCTGACAGTTCAAACCCACCAGACACTCCTGGGAACGAAGCTTGGGCAATCTACTTCCATGCTGACACCACCTAGGAAACCCAAGGAGGGGTCACTATGAGTCCAGTCTGACTCGATGGCACATAACAACAACAACATGTAACAAAATGTTGCCTTTTCAACATTGTTCTTGTGTCAATTTTATGACATTAATATGTTCATCATACTGTTCAACCATGACCCTTACCTGGTCCCAAGTTTTTCCATCACCCTTAACAGAAGCTTAGTGTCCACTAAGTGTTGAGTCTTCCTTTTCCCCCTCCCTCACATGGTTTACTGCTAACCATTGATAAACTTTGGTCTCTATATGCTTAACTAGTCTGTTGTTGTTGTTATGTGCCTTCGAGTCAGCTCCGACTCATAGCGACCCCTCCTTGGGTTTCCGAGGCAGTATCACTACGGAAGTAGGATTGCCCAACCTTCCTTCCGAGGAGTGGCTGGTGGGTTTGAACCGCCAGCCTTCTGGTTAGCAGTCAAGTGCTTTAGCCACTATGCTACCAGAGCTCCTACTTAATATAAATAAGATCATACAATATTTGTCCTTTTGTGACTGACACCAATGGAATGTGTAATTTTTGTTTACTTAATGTTCTGTTTCTCATAACGTGCAAATTGACTCTTCTTTGACCAAAGTCTTGGCATGTGTTATGGTTACCTGGTGCCACTCTGACAAGAAATATACCACAAATGGGATGGCCTTAACAAACAGGAGTTTATTTTCTCACAGTTTAGAGGCTTTAAGTCCAAGTTCAAAGTGCCAGGCTCTAGGGGCTGGGTGAAAGTCCCTCAACCTTGGGGTCCAGCTCTGCCTCCTGCTCCTGGCCCACTGGAGCTAGAGGCATTTCTTCACTCAGACAGCTGCTGGCTGCTAAGGCTGAGAAGCCCCGAGGTTGACAAGGAAAAAGGCACAGTCCCGATGTTACCAATCCACACAGCAGGCCATTAACTTAAGTCCACTGTAAGTCCCAAGGTCGGCAGAGCATAGCAGGCTGCTGAGCAATGACACGGCTATATGCAGGGTCCAAGTGTGCCAAAGGCTAGAGACCACAGCTAAAGGCTTCTTCTTGTATACAGGAAGCAGACCACATACCCAAAGGCAGCTACCAGCTGCTTGTGGTAGATCCCACCAAGGAGTTGATTGCCAGTCTCCTCATGGGAATTAACTATCACCAGCTGCCCAGCCACTCAACCAGGCCCAGCCGAGTTGACACACAAACTGAACTACCACAGCACGTCAGGGCTGGAAGGGACACGCAGACCAGCTCACTCTGTCTTCCTGCTTTACACATGGTGACACCAGGGCCCAGATCTTTACTAGAGTTGTCCTGGTAGAGCCCCAGACTAGACTACATG